TATTCTTGTATTTAGCGCTCCATCAGAGAGCTCGACATCATTTTCAGTGGCCATTAACATACGAACTTCGTTTTTAAGTTGTTGGAGGTCATTTGAAGTAAGAAAATTTCTCGTAAGTTTATTATTACTATTATTTATTTTTTTCACTTAAAAAAAGGTATTTTCCTGAAGTGGAGAAGAATTAACTTCAACCACTTCACGTTAATGTTTGTAGTTTTATTGGATATTAAGGAAGCTCCTTACTATTCTCGCAGTGTTCAGTAGCACAGCTTTCTGGGCTTCATTTATCGTAGCTGTTGATAGGCCTAACATCTCGGTAGCTTCTACAGTGGATTTTGGAATCAGCCGATTGCTAGAGATCACTAAAGCCCTTACTGTCACTTTGTTCAGTCTGTAGAGATCTTTTAACTCGGCTGCAAGAGTTTGATATTTCCGTATTTTTTCGGCGCAGACTGAGTCGGTGTTCCCATCATTCGGTACAGCGATATCTATTATCTCTGCTGTTTTCATATTACAGTTGATCAACACGATATAAGGTCTGTTATGGAGCACAGTATGATCTGTTATAAAAGATTGATTCCAATATAATTTCATTCCTTCCTTCCGGATAAGTTCTTTAGGGTTGTACTTATAATAAGGTATTGAATCATTCACTAACTTTATTTTTAGACCAATTGCCTGATGATAAATTTTTGCAACATCGTCATGTCTCTTGAGATATTCTGTACCAGCCAGCACTCCGCACCCTCCAGTTATGTGCTGAATAGACTCGAACGTGCTGGCACAGAGCCTACACTTGTCTGATACTGTCTGTTGCTTCAAGACATGTCGCAAGTAAGACCTCGTTGCTATGACCTGATCTTGGATTGCTATCAGAAAGCCCTCTGTCTCGGGAAACAGATTTCCTTTAACCAACCAACTAGTAGAGAATGTTTTATCTATTTCAGTTTGTTGGAGTTGGTGAAAAAATCTTCCATGCAGGGTTTTTGACTTCCATTCTTCCAGTCGGTCATTGTCTGTTAAAATTACGGATGCAGCAGTTTCTGGAGTGGCTAGTTGTAATGCTGTGTGTCCATAGTCAAGATAGCACATTATCCTATGAAAAGGTACTTCACTTTGTTTGAAGTATTCTCTGAGGGTCATTTCTTGTTTCCGACACGCCTCTTCAATGTTTATGAGACCTCTCCCACCTTCTTTTCTTGGTAAATAAAGTCTTGCCATAGATGCAGTCGGGTGATGCATTCTGTATTTAGTCATACTCGTCCGTATAAATCTATCCAATTCCTGGAATGAAGTTGTTGACCATTTTAAAATTCCGAAACTGTAAGAAATGGCTGGTATAACCCAAGTATTCACAGCTTTTATTTTTGAACCTGAGGATAGGTATGTTGTAAGAATAATTTTCAATCTCTTTTTCAACGACTCTATCAGTCTGTTTTTTGCCTCTTTGCTCGCTATTTTAACATGCTGTTCTATCCCAAGATATTTATATAGCTGTTCATTTTTTAAGTGTTTAATATGCAATGCTTCATTAAATATGTTCTCAGAGTTACTTGGCTTCCCTTTAATCACATGAAGAACAGCACATTTCTCAATACCGAGTGACATGTGTATTGAGTCACTAAATTGAGTCACAGTATTTAGCATAGATTGTAACTGGGATTTGTTCTTTGCATAAAGTTTTAAATCGTCCATATAAAAACTGTGGCTGATTACTGCACTCAATTCATTGAGTTTTATTTTGTATCCGTTTCTCTCTCGATTTAATAAAATTGATAGTGGAGCCATTGCAAGACAAAACCAAAGAGGGCTGAGGCAGTCTCCCTGTTATATACCTCTCGAAATTTTAATGTACTCCCGAGGGTCTGCGGATTGCTGCTCATCTCCTATCCTCAATCTAGTTTTCCAGCAGTTCATCAATTTCTTCAGAAGTTCAGTTAAACATGGATGAACTTTATACAATTCTAATACTTTTAAAAGCCAACTATGAGGGACCGAGTCAAATGCCTTTCTGTAATCAATCCATGCTATTGACAAATTTCTTTTATTCGCGGTCGTTTGGCCTGTAACAAACGAGTCTATAAGCAACAGCTCCTTACAGCCTTGGGCTCCTTTCCTACAACCAAGTTGCTCTGTTGGGATCAAATCATTGGATCTAAGGTGACATTCAATCTTACTTGATAGAATGGATGTTAAAATCTTATAAACTCCCTTGAGACAAGTAATTGGCCTGAAGTCTTGTGGTTCCAATAGGTCTCCCTGTTTTTTAGGAATTAGAACGGTAACACCCAGTGGAAACTATTTTGATTAAATATAACTGTTGTAAATCTTTCTTTTTGTCTTTTTAAACCAAAACCCTGCATTATTTTCTGAACAACCCAATAAATACTAACAGAATTTCAATTAAACTGAACTATTATATCTCCAAACGATAATTAGTTTATTTTTGTTATAAAAGGTGTCAGATACCCCAGATAAAATTAAAAAATATAAATTTTTGGACTTGATTTTCTTAAAGAATTTGTTTTCCCACCATCAGCTGAGCATTCATAATTCCTCAAGCTTTTCTCTAAATTCAACATTACTTCAACTGTTGTAAAGTTGAATTACTGCTCTTTTAGTTTATATCAATAACTTTTAGATTTTATGCCTTTATATGGTAGAAATACAGGATTGCCAATCCACAGTGTTTAGTGTAAATAATTTTAGTCAGTCTGAGTCTTTTGATCTGATTGTCAGTAACACATACCTGATATGAAATACTTATAAATTTCAATTTATAGATTTCAATTAATATATTAATACTCTTTTATAATTTTATTTAATATTTAATAACCTCTTATTTATTTAGGTTAGTTATATTATTATTTGTAAAATATATGAGATATTACAATATATATATCATATATATATATAATGTAGAAAACTTATATTTATTTGGGTACTTTTTGTCTAGCGGGCCAGCACGAAACCTCACTTCTTATTTAACGTCACGTCACATAACCTCCCTCTTCTTATCCCGCCAAACCTTTGAGTTATTGCATTGTTTATATTTCAATTATTCCCTTATTACGTTCACTTATTAAATTCTTTACTTTTGGCCCGTTTGTGTTTATTTTTCATTATTTTTAGTTTTTGGCCCATTTGTGTTTATTTTTATTTATTTTTTTTTTTTAGTTTGTGGCCCCTTTGTGTTTATTTTTCATTTTTTTTTTTCGTTTATTTTCGTCATATTATAGATCTTCTTAGAATATGGGATTTGCCGTCTTCAGAAGAACAGGCAATTCAATATTTTCAAAATGTTGGGATATTTGCAGGCGTGAAATTGTGTGAACGAGGTCATCGAATGAAGTTGTGTTTATTGCAAGCAATTAAAGACAATATAGAAGAGGGAACGACCATTTATTCCGACTGTTGGAAAGGATACAACACCCCACAACTGAACGAAACAAACTATGACCATGTCCAAGTGAATCACCGGTATAATTTTGTCGATCCATCAACTGGGGTTCATACTCAAAACATAGAACGATTATGGGGCTCAGCGAAGTGGAGAAATAAAGTACATAGAGGAACTGTCAGACAACACCTCGATTTATATTTGTGCGAATTTTTGTGGTGGCGGATTCACAGAGAGAAGAGGACCCGTTCCTCGCTATTTTAAATAGCATAAAACAATTTTGCCTTCCAAAATAAATAAGACAAAGTGAAAATAAATTGTACATATGTTGTTTATAGTATTGATATTTTTTCTTTTCTATGTAAATATGTTTTTTTATTATTTCATTTTCATCTTTTATATCTACATATGTTCTTCAAGTGTTTTTTTATTATTTCATTAATATATGTGTCGTAAAATAAAAGTATTTTTTTGTTATTATGTTTGTTTTTGTATCTGTTTGTACTTTCAATAATACAATAATACGAAGATATGAAGTAGGAGAAGGTTTATCAATGCGTTATGGGGAATTATCAGTGTTCAGGTTATAAACATTGGCAGATAGCAGTCAGTGCCGTCTCGCTAGACAAAAAGTACCTTTATTTGTTTAGTAGACAGATATTCACGTGTGCCAAAATCAGCGTTCAGTCAAAACCTAAATTCAAAAAAAAATAAAAACAGACAGAGGCCGAACCAAATTTGATCCTTGATTTCTGAAACATAAAACACAAGTGGAATTTTTTGGTTCTGAGTGCATAATTTTATTTAACCTCCCGCACGAATACAAAGCTTCTATACCTTCGGTAGTGAGGAAACAAAAAGAAAAATATAAAATTAACTTATTAACATTTATTTGATGTTTAAAACATTTAAATAGAATATAAATAAGATCATATATATGACACAAATAACAGAGAAAGCACATACCTTGGGTTCAGATTAAATCTGAAAGCTTCCAAATGGTCATAATCCAGAACAACCTTACTGAATCAGCTACAGGAGACTAATGAATGCACCGACCAAGCCACAAGTCAAATGATGAAGGTAGGACTTGCCCCTACCTTTTTAAGTGGCGACAGCCAAGGCGGAAAGGCATATATCCCGGCCGCATAAGTGAACCAATTCACTGCCCGGAAGGCATTTATCACGTCTACACCGGTAACCCAAATCCTAACAGAAAGCCATGTATCTCTTCCACAGTCAAAGAGTTAATTAATGATTTAAAATATTTTTTAGATCTGAAAATTGATTTTTACCATCTATTCTTTGAAAAATTTTAATCTTCAGATCCGAGCCGAATAATTACCCACTAAATGGCAACCCTGATTACAACTATACACTTAAGGCAATGTATGAATGTCAATTTTGGCTGAGCCAAAGTTTCTTCCCATTTTTATCTGAAACCAAAACTTCAGTTAGTCGCTAGTTTTATGGAATAAACTTGATTAGCTAGTGCATAACTTATTGAAGCATTATTTATCATTGATCTTTTATATTTATTATTTTTATTTTATTTTATTTTTTTTTTTTTTGTATATTTTCCTGAACATTTATTATACAGAATTGAAAGTAAACATGAAGTAACTATCCTGGGAGGATTAAATGAATTCTGTGTAAAATTTTATGGACCTCGAGGAAGTAAGTATAATCCCTATCTCATTTTAATGGTATTGTTTCCATATGGCAATTATTTTTGTTCAATTAATGCTTTGATATAGATTAATCTTTTAAGTCACTGTTGTTTTGTTAACACTTTGACGATAGGTGGAAAGCCGAGTGACGAATGCTGTTGAAACGGTAACCTTGAGAAGGCATATCCATCATCTTATACCAAATATTTTTCTAGTAGATAATTACCTTATGAGAATGATCAGAAGGTCTCGACAGAGCGTGTTCAATTCAGGGAAAGTGATTCAGTGGATGAGGAGAATGCTAAGACAGGATGACCTCAAGTATCAAGCGATTGAGCACCCAAAACTACTCTTAGTCTGTGAGCTCAGGGATGAACCTTATGAACATCCAGACTTTGTGAGAGAAAGAAATACTTACTGAGGGATGTGCCTCCAGACTTTGTGAGAGGAAGAAATACTAACAGACGGATGAGCCTCCAGACTTATTGTATATAGGACTACAAGGGGACCTTGTATGGAGAGAGAAAAGGTTAAAGGAGCATTGAGAGAAATAAAAGTCAGATTGGTAGAGAACCCAAAAGCGTAAAGAGAACCCAAAAGTATACTGATCAATCTGAACCTTTGACATGACATCCCAAAGAATGGAGATTAAGACCTGAATTAACATTTCAATGATGTAATCATTTCGCCATGAATAAATTGGCTAGCAAGAGTCATTAGAGTTACTGTTATTTTTGAAGCTTTGGTCAGTATATCTTATTACCATAAAACTAGATTATTAAAAAATATTCACAATGTATATTCATATTTACAATTTAGAACTTCAGTTTTTTACATTAAAGTAATAAAAAAAAAAAAAAAAACTGTACCACTACAACCCATGAAGGGTCTTGGGTTCATTACTATCTAAGGAAGTTATTGTTTCTTAGTCAACAGTCAACAAGAATGTGATTTCATTGAGATCACACTCAACCGCTAGGTTTTCTCCTTAATTAATTATTATATAAGGGTAACAACTTTATAGAGGCTGAGTGTGCCCTAGGAGGATCTCCTGACCCCAAGGTCGTCCCACAGCTGATGAAACAGAATAAATAATTTTTCTACCATGAGCTGGGATCCAAACATCGTACATTGAGCATTGGAAGATCAGTGCCCTACCACTGAACTACCCCGCTCCCATATTAATGTAATCAGAAACAAAAATATAACTTCTATGTAATAGGGTGTATAAAAAAAAATTACCATTTTATCGAATTCAACATTTCAAAGGACTGTAAATATTTGAATACTTAATAATCCCTTTAGAGCATTCTCTAAGCATCTTCAATCCTATTTGACTTCTTTAAAAAAAGCCTCAGGTTAGTTATTTGTTTCAATGAATAAACATGACAGTGTCCTACGAAGCTCTCGTAATTTTAAGGTATTATTGAAAAAAAAATTTCACAGCCGCTGAAGCAGCTCATGAAATTATTTAATATGAAGGGGAAGGTGTCGACCAGGGCACTGCATGGCATTAGTTTGAGAAATTTATCAATAGAGATACGACGTTGGAAAGGAAGATGGGTTCCGGGCAACCATTAATGTATATTGATGAGGTTCTGCAGGAAGCTGTTGAGTCAAAACCATCCACATGTACTCCCGAACTTGCGAGGGAGTGAGGTGTGTCGAAATATACTTTTAGTCGCCATCTACTCTCCATGGGAATGGTGAAAAAGCGCAGTAGACTAGTTCCTCACGAACTTACTCCTCAGCAATTAGCTAAGAGGCTAGAAATTTATGAACATTTATTGAAAACCCTTCTGATATGAGATTTTACCGGAAGATTGTCACCTGTGTTGAAAAGTGGGTTTACTGGCGAAATCCGAATACCCGTGAGCAATGGCTAAATCATGGTCAAACTGCTTTTCTGGTTGTTGCAAGGTGGCAATTTGAAAAAAAAAAACCTTGGTTTGCGTTTTTTAGAATTTTGAAGGTGTTTTTCATCACAAATTTGTTCTTGATGGATGCTCTATGAATTCTGAACTCTACTGCAAACAACTGGAAAGATTTTATGCGAAATTTTCAGAGCATTATCCATCTTTAATCAACCGAAAAGGAATTTTATTCCAACAAGATAATGCTCGTCCTCACACGTCCCATCGAACCAAAGAAAAGTTTAAAGAACTTCATGGGTTCGAACTCCTGCCTCATCCACCATTATCACCTGCACCTTCGGATTATTACTTATTTTGATCTATGACCCATTTTCTTCAAGGGAAAAAATTTGATAATTTTGCCGAAGTTGAAATTGCGGTCCAAGAGTTCTTTGACAGTCATCTCAAACAATGGTATCAGCATGGGATCGAGCAGATGGCTAAAGACTGTAGGTAACAATGGACTATACTTTATTTCTTTTATATGAAAGAAATAATAATACTAATATTTGGTTGAAAAACAGTCATTTTACTTTATACACCCTATTAAAATGAGTGAGCGCTCAAATATGCCAGGTAGTGGGCAGATAAACTAATAGTCCACTGTAGGTGTGGTGGCAGGCAAGTGAACCAATAGGCCACCACAGGACTCCCCTCCTAGATGGCGGAGTCAGTGGTAAGTCCAGTGTGAGTTTTCCAAATGATATGGTTGTCCTGCACCTTTAGTTTTAATATTGCTTCCAATATCAGTTAGGTGTTTGTTCAGGGTAAAGTTATACAGAGGTGAGCATTAAGCTGCTCCACGAACTGTTGATTAGTATCACCGCCAAATAGATCAATCCCACAAAGGTGTGGAGAGTACATCAGCATGCCGGTTGTTGCCTCGAGGGTGAGATGGCGAATGATTTCAGTTGGTCGAAGTATAATCTACGTTGTGTGTCACCCAAAGAGGGCAGGTCGGCAAGATGGCTATGATGAAGATGAACCATCACTGCGCCAGTTGATGCCAAAAGTGCCTGCCACAACACTTTCTTTATCTCATGCAACTAAACAAATTGTTTAGATATTTATATGTTTATTTTCTTTTAGTTTTATAAATGTTATCTTCAATTGTTACTCCAGTGTTTGCATTACATTAAAATTATATTAAATCCTTCTTCCTTCCAAATATTTTTATACAGCAACGGAGGTGGTCTGTTGTATTCAATTGCACTATCAACAGAAAATCTGTGTCCTTCGACTTTATTAAAACATAGTTTCAATTTTCCTCAGCCATGTATTTCAGAACAATGAAATACAAATTTGTTTTCAGCTTTTTTGTAGTCATATACTAATGATCTTATTTCTTCGCAGATAATCTCATTCCTTTTTAAACTTTCTTCCTACTCAAAACATTTTTCATGGTGTACCAGGTATAGTTCAAAACCTGAAAGAGGGGGAAAGGGTAATGGTAGGAGCCTCATTAGTTTTTTAAAAAATTGCCTTCATAACTATTTCCTCTTTCAGTATGATGTTATTAAGAGCTTATACATGTTAGCTGGAAAAGTTTTTTCAGAACCAGTGATTTTATTTAATTTGAATCAAAAAAACAAACATTTCTCTCATAGTCTTTTAAAGAAAGGGGAAAATATCTGTTGAATGCAAGATGAACGTTCTTAGTTTTATAAAAAGAAATTAATGTCACCACATTTTTAGCTAGTTATTCAAATGTTATTGGTGAAGAAGACACAATAATAATAATAATAACAAAAGGCTTGGCGAACCCAAAGGTTCAATTCTGGCACCACCAATATCGAAAAAACCTTGATTCTTATGTTTTATGAAACAAGCCATCTGAATAACACCATGCAGAGAGTATGGGAGTAATTGGGAAAACTGAAAACATGTTAACAACTAATTGGTTTTCAAGAAACATACCCTGCAAACAGGAGTTGTTTTTTTTATTCTTACAGATATAAATGTGAATTGAGGCCTTGGTGGCCGTGTGTTAAAATGTTGCCTGCTTTAACATTCTTTAGTCTAGTGACACTGTTTCAAACATATTCAAATTTATTTTGTGGCAGATCCACAAAATGAATTTCGACCTTTCCACTCTGGTTAGAATAGGTTTGGTTGTACCTTTAGAACAACCCCACCCCTAAAACGTAACAAAAAAAAATTTAATTTGTCTTTAACCTGGATTTTCTTTCCATTCTCATTCTCAGAAGCAAAATACAGAATTTGATTTTACGTTATCCCTTCATTAAAGTGCTGAGGTCATTTATTAGTTTCATCAATAACTTTTGTTCTTTGGGAATAGCCTATCTTTTTATCATTAATAAGAAAATTGGAAGTTTTATCTTGAACTGCCTTGCTGGTTAGAATATTAAACAGTTTTGTAGGATCAAGGTCTGGATTGATATACTCAGTTTTAATCGCTAGCTTGATTTTTTTCAACAGCTTTAATATTTTTTTTCCATTTTGTTAGGTATTAAAGCTGCAATCTGCGGGGGTATAGCTAGTGGTGATAAACGATCCTCCAGTATCCTGAGTTCAATACACTGCATACAAACAGGACATTACACCTCTCACCATACTAACACAAAGTCACCTACATTACATACTCTAGGGTTACCTCTCCTAGAAAGCTGTCATGGATGAGAGAGCAAGTTAGGATGCTCTAAGCAGGCAGCTCCTCCATCTGACTCAATGGCAGTGGGCCGATAATCCACTCTCTATAAATTACTCTTGTTACTTTTAACAACTGAAAGAATGAAGCTGAATTGAATTCAAGGAATTCGATAGGGTGAAGAAAACAGATTAGAAGATTTGCTTGCATTTGGAGTTTGGATGGGAAAGAGTATGAAATTGTAGATGAAATCAGAAGGGCCAGAATGAATATACCTAGTCCTGTCATAAATATTGTTACAAGGAATTACATACAAATTTTTAGATACCGAATTTCATAAAGGAATAACGAATCCTGATTCGAGATATATAATTGGCCTACAATAAAAATGTCAGTACTCATTGGACGCAAAGTTTGATACTACAACTTTGATTCTATGGATTTTTGATCTTAAGGAACTCATTTCCAAGTTTCAGGGCCATTTATAGTAATTTTTCTCAGTTTTTGACAAATTTTGTAAAAATCATTGTTGGTTGACCATGGTTTTATATCTTACCATGTTCCCAAATTATAAAGTTTATGTACTTGTTCTATGCACAATTTAACGTTCTTTAATTTATTAAAGAGTATTTTTTTCGCTTTGATGCATCGTTTAGGAGTTTTAGGTGAAAAAAGTAAAAAAAATTTCGATAAATCTTACTTTTTTGGCTGTAAAAAGTTTTCCCTTGATGACCCGCATTAGCAATTTTATTTTTTACATGTCTAAACCCATATATACAAGTTTAAAAAAATACAAACTTTTGCCGTATTTTTCGCAATGGATTTCCCGTTTCGATCCTCAAATTACTGGCCTAATATAATTTAAATCAGCCGCCATTTTTGAAAGCAGTGGCTCTGGAACGGTAGACAAGTTTCTTTTTACTCAGAATAGCATACACTGTTGTAATTTACAATCAAACCTTCGCCTTCGATCAGGTCGATTTTTGGGCCCTGGCTCCAGGGCCATGTGCTCTATGGCATGCCATTCTCTCCAGTTCTAGGGTTGAGATCAGGGCTTGCTGAGGGCCAATCTGAGGCAGAGATGAAGTCTGGAATGTTCTTTTGCAGCCACTGCTGAGTTGACCTGCCCTTCTGAGCCGGAGTGGAATCTTGCTGTAAAACCCAATGACTTCCAGCAAACACAGTATCATTTAGAGGCTTGACAACAGGTTCCAAAATATCGTCCTGATAGTTTTTAGCAGCTGTTTTAACTCCTTTTTCACAAAAATGAATCTTTATGATGTCATAAAAGCAAACTCCCCACCAAACCATCACTGAGGAAAGGCGATGACCTCTTTCCACTGGTCCAATGATTTCCTGGGCTTCTTTAGAGCTGTGGGAGTACACACAATCATTTTGGCAATTAAATTTTTCTTCAATTGTAAAAATGTTCTCATCGCTAAACAAAATATTTCGATGAAGACCATTGGTTTAACGCCCAAGGAGCACTTTGTATCTATCCACTCCACTTTTTTTTAGGGAAGTGGTTAGTCTTTGTCCTGTCATTCTTCGAAATGCACCCATCCTAAGATCTGTTTTTATAATGTGAGACATTGATCTGACAGGGATTCCCATTTCCCGAGACATGGTTTGTTGTTTTCGAATGGGATTTCTTCTGATTTGAGCAGCCACTGCTCTCACTACAATTGCTATTCTCACAGTGCGGGGACGGCCCAGTCGAGGTCACATACAGATAGGGTCTCATTGGGGGCGGGGTAGCCGAATAGGCTAAAGCGTGTGCACAGCACCGCTAGTTGCCTGGCAACCGGATAACAGAGATTTGAGATGATATAAAAAGTACGAGTTCGCGTCCCGGTGCCGGAGGGGATTTTAAATTCCCCGTCCTCACCCCCCGGCCCGGGAAAATCCCCCGTATAGCCTAAAAGGCGAGGTAGGGAAGAACAAAAAAAAAAAAAAAAGATAGGGTCTCATTGTATCTATTTATAGTGTGGTACACAAACGTACAGCTGATACCCAAAGGTTTCAAAGTGTTAAAAATCTCTGACTTACATTTTCCAACTTGGTGTAAGGCGATCACAGCGATTCGGTTTTCTTTATCACCCCACTCCATGTTAACCAGAAAAATACAAACTAATTGGGATTATTATTCTGACATGTAAAGAAAATAACCTGATAGAGGTCAGGATTATCTAAATAATACCCAAGGATGTAAACAAAGTTCAACTTTTGTAACAGTATTTATAGCAGAACTAGGTACTTGGTATCACTGAAACATAGAAGAAAGTAATAGGCTAAGTAATGGTCCAGGACTACACTCTTCTGAACTCAGGGTTCAGAGAAATAACACCATATGGCGAAAAGGTGCATGGAGAGGAGGGGGAAAGCGCTTGACTTCGCATATTTCTTTGAAGTACTTAAGAGGTAAATATACTAAAATTCAGTTTATTTTCTTAAAGTTTTTTTAATTATAAGCCAACAATTCCACCCCAATAATAGGATCTGCGTAGAAGGGAACTCCCCAAGATTAGACTGATTCAAATACCTTGACTCCACAATAACTTCAATGAATGGCCAAAAATCGAAAATAGGCCAAATTATAACAAGTGCAAACAGAGCTTTCATCTCTCTTTCAAAGATATTGAAATTCAGAAAAAGCCAGTTTTAATATACAGCTGCGAGACCTGGACACCAACCTGCATCCAAGAAAGAAAAATTGAATGATTTAAGAAAAAAATCCTTCGCACAATAACCGGAGCATTCTGGAATCATAGTACTTACAATGTAGGAGAAGGACAAATAAAGAACTGCTTACAGAAACTGGTCAATCAATACCTCATAATATGAAGGCAAGGAGGTTAATATGGGCAGGGCCTACTACAGCTCGGAAATTCCATCAGGAAACCACTACACAACAATGGATGTCTCAAGAGTAGGTAAGAGATCACATGGAAGGCCAAAATCCAGATAGATATATCAAATCAACAAAGATGCTACATGCAGATAGTTGGAATGAAATAGCCCCAGATAAGCAGATATGGAGAAGGCTGTTTAAGGCAGTAAAACATCTGCAATGTCTGAACTGCCAACAGAAAAAAAAAAAAAAAAGGAGGAAAATGCATATATTATTGAAGAATTACTCAATATCGGTGACTGTTTTTTTAATATTAATCCTTACCTAAATTTTGATTTTTGTTAGATACTAAGCATTAATATATCTTTTCATTAATTTACTAGATTTTTTTTTTTTTTATCATTGCATGAGTGTAAAATGTTGCCAGTCGGAAACTCTTGAAAAAATTGGAAATCAGTTTTGAATTAAAACTATCAAAATTGGTTGACACCATGAAAAACAAATTATCTTTGATTTTATTATTACTTTTAAATCAGTTTTTAAAAATCAATTGTTTCAGCTCCTTACGAAGGAGGCATTTGGAAAGTGCGTGTTCACCTTCCTGAGCATTATCCCTTCAAGTCTCCTTCCATAGGCTTTATGAATAAGGTCTACCACCCCAATATAGATGAAGTGTCAGGGACTGTGTGTCTTGATGTTATAAATCAAGCTTGGACAGCCCTTTATGGTAAGTTTTTGGATTAGTTAACTTTCAACAGTTAATAAAATATGTCTAGAAAGACAATTTGTTGTTAATATGATTGTTACATGATAAAAGCATGTGCTCTATTGTTACTCTGTGAGAATTACTTTTTGTATTGTTTGTTGAAATAAAAAAAAATTAAAATCTTTTATGTACATGAATAACAGTAAAATAAATTTAAAAATGTGATACGTGCGTCACACGACTTTCACTTACCACCCTCTTCTTAGCAGAAATAAGTATTTTCAGACAAATAGGAAGTAAAAGTAAAAATTATAGATGCTATATTTATTTAAATTTCATTGTGGATATTTTTATGTATTTAATTACCCATGTATATATATATATATATATATATATATATATACAAATTTTAATTTCTTTATTGCTGTAATCTATACAATTAAATATTAAATAATACCAATGATAGCATTTATGAAAACTGCATATGTATATGTACATATTGTCAGAGTCCATATTATATTAAGTTCATATTACGTATGGAAGCCTGTTCTAATCTTTCGAGTGAGCTCGGGCGTGCTCTTAATCCTTTGGTTCCTCCATTACAACTATTATCCGTTACTCTGCTTTAGTTAATTATAAAATTCTTTCATATTTTATATTTAACTATTTTTTATGTCAAAGATTAATGTTAAATGGTTAATTATTTCAATTTAAAAAAATTAAAGTTACTTTAGAGGAAGCTAATATTGAAAATTAGCCATTTAAGCCCTGTAAGAGAACATCAAAGAGAATAAAACCTTATATTAATAACTGCTTAATAATACACTGATATACTGAGTTTAATCAAAATCATTAGAGCTGCTTTTGAGAAAATGATAAAAATGTGTTAAATTTATGATATAAAGTACCACTCGCGGTTTGCCGATTTTGACAAAAATGTTTCAGTAACATCCCATGCTTATAAAAACCTCAAATACGCAATTTCAGTTTCGTATAACTTTATTTTTTGAGCTAGGCTGTTCATATACATACACACACTCACACACACACATTTTGTGGGACTTGGTTATTTGTACTTAGGGGACCTCAAAACGTGTATTTCCATTGAAAACTTAGAAGAAAAAAAAATTTCACGATTGCAATACTTACCCTTACTATAAATTACATATATAGGTAAGTGAATATAAAAAGTGTCATCATTAAAAATAGTTTAATATAGTTAGTACTTCAGTTAATTTCTTCAATAAACCTTTTTTTAGTAAGTCTAACATAAAATAATTCTGAAATAAGCATACATATCAGGCAATTCATCCAGCTAATAATTTATACAAGATTATGTGATTAAATAATTTAAAACTCATAAGAAATTCATTTTATTTTCGCATTTGTGGTTTTTTATTAGCTTCTTTTTAGTCACATTTAATTTAGAATATGCATATTGTAGACTAATCACAATAGTCTACAAAATGGTCTTCTTTTTTTTTCCCCTTGTTGCCATTGCAGACCTCGTAGATCTTTTGCCATCTTAATCAGCCTTCTCCATTTCTGGCCATTGTTATAGTATTAAATCTTTTCACAATTTTAATATTACTGTTGTTCCTCAATTTTTTATTTATATCATGTTTAAAACAGCAGGTTCGTGAACCAGGTGTAGGCCTAATATCAGGGTGTTGACATTTGGGATGCTAAAAATATCTATTGAGAACCCAAATTGATTTAACATTATCATTTGTTTATTTTTTCCAATGATATTCTGTTATTAGGATTAGTACTTAATATTCTTTCTTAGTAGTTGAACTGCATTCACCTGACATTATGAATAATTTTTACAAACTTTTAACTTAACTGTTAACTTTAATAGCAATGATTTAATTACTAAAACTATAAACTCTATTAAAAAAATAATTATACTGAACTATACTCTTTATAACTCTTTTAAAAATTAATCTGAAATCAAAGAACACTTTCATAACATTTTTATTGTATTCACCAAACATTATGATTAGTTTTCACAAAACTATAATTTAAAACTTTAACCTACAAGAGGATGCTACGTACTTAGGTTCACCGATTTTAATGAAACTTTTTTTGGTGACACTAGGTTGGAAAATATTTTATCCATGTCTAGGAATCTATGCTCTAGGAGCCAAGAAAAAAAAAATGTATAAAATGTTATTTTTTTATATTATTGTTTTCAGCCTTTGCTCTGCATGAATTTCTATGTCAATTCAATTGATTTTTTTTTTATGAGAAGAAACTACTGCGGATTGTACTAAAAAAAATCAATTGTATAATAAATAACTAAGACCAATAGATGCTACCAAAAGGCCTAATAAATTTTTGTCATGGGAAGAAAATTCAGATTCTTTTTTCTAGCAGTTCTTTAAAACGTTTAAATACAAATTGGTTTTACATAAAAATATATATTTTTGGACTTGATTTTATGAGGATTTTTTTTCATACCATTTATTAAAACATTCATAACTCCTCAGGATTTTCTCCTAATTCAATGTTACTACAACCATTGAAAAGTGGATTTATTGCTCTTTCAAAACTTATCAATGTCATTTTACATGTTTATAAGGAATAAATAAAGAAAAATTCAAATGATTTATTTTTCATTCCTGTTCTAATCTGCTTATGGGGTTAAGATTTGTGCCATTTCATGTAGGTTATATGTCTCTAAAGTCCTAATTTCCGTCTGGACATGTGGAGATTTGTTGAAGTTATCACAAGTTTTGTGATTTTTAAAGAAAAAGAAATCGAAGGCTGTATCCTAGGTGTAAATTTGGAACAAAAAGTATTTGTTTTTGTTTGATATGAAAATTCATATCTAAGTGTTTATAGAGTTTTTAAACAATCCAAAACACAAGCCTTTGATCCAGGATGGCCGTACTTCCCCCACTCTACTCTACCCACTAGCATTGTTAGATTTTCACTATCTATAAGTCTTAATTTTTTTTTAATTTTGATAAAACTTTCAGTTTTAGTCAATTGAAAGAAAGTACATATGCAAGAATTTTCATCCTTATGTACTCACATTGAGCCCTAAAATGGACTAAAATGTGAAACATGATCTATTCCTAGCAGATATATCATTGAAATAATGCCACTTTTTGAGCCTTTGGGTGCTTAAAAATAAATGAATTAATTAATTCCGGAGTTCAAATGCCCAAAACAAATCAGGGAAGGATAATTGAGAATTTAAGGTTGAAAATAAGGCCAACAATAATTTGTTAATATTAATATGTGTTTATTAATCAGCATTAACCATTGCTTGCTTTGTGGATCCTGATGCTTTGCCTACTGTTGTTTTGTTAAATTTTAAGTTCTATTTAATTAATTTAATCAAATTAATATAGTGCACTGTTTGCTACAGTGTAATCACACGTGACAATGAAAGCAATATCTGTTGCTCAAAATGTAAAGTCAGCAGGTACTTTAATTTACCTGAAGATTGTATTATATTTAAAATAGCAGATTCTTGAATCAGATTTATATCTCATGTCAGGGTATAAAAATTATTGAAGCTAAAGCAGCCCAAAAATCTTCTTGAACAATTGAGGCGAATACCAATAAAACTCTCATATCCCCTATACATTAGCCATACTAATATATATTTAAGCACAAATTGTGTGGAATTGATGAGAGGAGTAGGTTTGTCATTCATTTCAATTGTAGAAAACCTTAATCAGTAATCAAACATTGTATGGTGTTTCATGAAAGTGGTAAAAATCAAATGCTACTGTCCCCATAAACACAATCAAATGGTTTAAGCTTGGTGTTGTATAATGCACCTCATCCCAGTATGTTCACACTCTAACTGAGAGGATTTTCATATGACTAGATACAAGATAAAATGGTATTGATGACTTCTGTTGGACAACAAATGATTGATTTGAACCAAGTATTGCATGAAAAATTATCAGAACATCAAAAAAACAAAAAAAAACAATATAAAGTAATTTTGCTTCACCATATACACCATTACACACAGAAAAACCAGTGAAAGAAATAATTGAGGCATTAAGTTAGAAAATATTGATGCAGGTAGCTTACTCACCAAACTTAGTTTCGTCCGACTACAATATATTTGCATCAACGAGGTACGAACTTGCTCAGCAGTACCACTTCTTAGAAAATATATGAAAATGGCATGATGACTGGTTCACCACAAAAGGGCATCAGTTTTTCTGTCATGGAATTTCAAAATTACCAGAGATGGAACAAATTTATAGCTAGTGATGGAAAATATTTCGAATATAGTATTTTTTAAAAATTTTTATGCAACGTGTAATTCATATACGAAAATTTCACCTTCATATTTACAATCCTGGTTCACTTATGTTCATGCTCGGATATTTTTGGAATTCCATTTATGGTGTAATCGATAAGATGTGCTCACTTAATATGGTCAGCCACTTTCTCCATAATAATCCAACAATCTATTGGAACCTAAGGGTTTTTTATGTATTGGTTAATGAGATAATCTATAATATAATTAGTTAAATAAAAGTTTCATATGAATAAGTGGGCATATTTGGATTCACCGCTTTCAATGAAACTTTTTTTGGTGGCGCTAAGTTGGAAAATATTTTACCCATGTCTAGGGTTTTTGCCAGTGTGCTCTAGGAGCCAACAAAATTTTCTTTAAAAATTTTCCTCATACCATCAAGACTCCACTGTTTCCAAAACAACCATCTTGTGAGAAAAAATAAATGTCTAAAACTATAATTACCAGAACTCTAAATGTTTTCATGTTTTATATGTATATTATAGCTCTGTTAGTAATTAATTATTATTTATTAACTAATTAATGTTATTTTCTAATATATTTAGATTTGTCCAACATTTTTGAGTCCTTCTTGCCTCAACTTCTTACATATCCGAATCCAATTGATCCTTTAAATGGTGATGCTGCAGCTATGTATTTACATAAACCTGACGAGTACCGGAAAAAAGTTCACGGTAAGCTTTTTTTCACTTTCACTTTTAAAAAGTGTGTCTACTTTTAATCAAACTTTAATTACACATAGGCTTTGTATGACTTATACCATTAGTGTAGGCTTTTATAATTCTATTGTTGCTTTTTTTTTCCATTACACTGAAAGTTGATTGTTGACATGATGCTGAATTAGACTTGTTTACTTGATTAAATAATATTATTAAATCATGTATTTATTTCCAAAATAAGTTTAAATTAATGTGATTTTTAACCCTTTTTTGGTTATTGAAATGGTTCCACTAGGTAATTGTACTTGAAATAGGGTACCTTCCGAATTAACCACCATGTCTAAGGTCAGCGAACTTATTTGTGCAGTGATAGTTCCCAATTCTCTCATTACGGTGAGTGGTGGGGGCAGATCAGAAGATCTAAAAGATAAAATTTAATCCGTACCACCTCACGTTACACTCAGGCCCCATTCCAGCTCTGAGAAACAGAGACAACAGATGCTCCAAGGGCACCCTTTAGGTGTAGATTTCTGCACCAACATAAAAATGGTAAGCTGTTGCACAATTCATATAATCTACCAATCCATTAAAATACAGTCCACTGCATAAATAAGTAGAATGTTGTCAATAATTTGAATGTTGCCTATTAAGAACTCATAAGAATTATTTGCCTTGCCTTAATTTAAAATTTGAAAAGTTGCCTAAACAGAACACCTCTAGTGAACTTACTAGCTTTTCAAAATTTATAACATTTATAGCTATTATAGTTCTTTTAATGTTTTTTTTTCTTCTTAATAACTTTCATCAAACTTTATTAATGTATGAAAATTTTAATAAATTTGTAATTACAAATAACAATTGAGATATCAGTGTTGTTTATTTTTTGAAAGAAATGTTTTTATAAATGCTGTAATATTTCTTGTTAAAATCCATGTAAATTTTCAGCGGCCAGAAGTGTTTATAAACTTGATGATGGATAATTTTTGACTGTTGAAACATATTGTTAAGGAATAATTGGTTGGGGATTGCAGTCATTGCAGGAGTTATTAAGAAAATGTTCGTGCGATAAAAATTATTTTTATTAGCCCAGTCAAATTAGCACAAAAAAAGCGTTCTAGCTTGCAAAAGGTCGCGCAATTCAAATTTATTTTTTATATTGCTAGATATGTAATGAATATAAAAAATCCAAGTTTCCACCCTTGAAATCTTTGTGGGGTCGCTGCAATGCTCCGAAAACCATTGAAATTTCAAACTTTTTTTGGTTTACACTAAATATCTCCTTTTTAAAGCAAGATAGATAAAACATTATTGTATTTAATCTGAAACAGCTTATAAAACTATCTAACATTTTTTTCTTAACCGAGCAGGAAGTGAACTAACTATCGAGCTTTCAAAATGTGTGAAGTTTTGAAAATTAGCAAAAAACATGTATAATGTTTTATTTTTAACTAATTATCTGTTTTTGTAGGTTTTTATAAGTTTTTGAATTAAATATTAAAGCACTCACAATTTACTACAGCTTTTATAGGAAACATATTTTTCTAAACTTAAATACAAATCGCTAAAAAGAAATTGATGTTTTGAAAGTAAAAAAAAACTAACTACGTCAAAGACATCAATACACCATTTTGGGACGGTGCAGCCACTTTTTTGTGGGAACATTGTTTTTTTTGTTTTTTTAATAAATACTTTCAAGGAACTCAACTATATGCATTTTATTTGGATGTAGGGAAAGGGTGCAGGGTAGGCAGTCTGGTCTATCTTGTAACATACCTTTCAAAACAGCTCCCGGCTGCCGTCTGCCGTTCCAGTTAATAGCTCATTATCACCGAGGAAAATTTCCAAATTCTCTTGACAAGATTCAAAATGGAATTACAGAATCATTCCGTTCAAAACTGAAAGAGCACTATTACGAAGAAATCGAAATGAGTAAATTTTTTAAGCTAGTTAGTTAGCTTTCTTTTCAGTTTAGAAAAAAATGTTAGATAATTTAAAGCTGTTTAAAATTTAATATAACCATTTTATATATATATATATATATATATGTTGCTCTAAAAAGGAAATATTTAACGTAAACCAAAAAATGTCATTGGCTTTTGGCGCACTGCAGTGAACCCACCAGGCTTTCAAGGGCAGAAACTTGGACTTTTTATATTTACAACATACCTAACAAAAAAAAAAAATTGAATTACCCGACCTTTTGCAAGGTAACATGTCTAATTTGACAGAGCTAAATAAATTGTATGGGAATTTTCAATATTTTTTTTTTAAAAAGTTCACTTTATTTTCTATGCTCCTTTTGTTATTTATTACTGTGCAATATTGGAGTGCCCGGTACATGCTATATGACCGGGAGCCCTTTTGTTGTGAAATAAAAAAATGAAGAGTTTGATGGAGGAGGAATATCTGTGTATGAAGTTACTATTTATTTTGTTAATGTCCTTTTATTTTGTTTTCCAATTGATGTCGCTGAAGAGGCAATTAGTTGTAGTGGGTTAATCCAGCGTGATAAATTTTACATACAATTTGATGAGGGGCTACTATCATGTCTGTGTTTTGTCGCCTCTCACTCGTCTAAAGGTACTATTTCGCGGCCCACGACCGCGACTGCTTGAGGTTGACCACTGCTTTAGTGGAATAGAAAGGAACTTATTTCTCTGGTGCTGCTTGGCAGTCTAGGTATGACGTCATATCTAAGCTGCTTCTATCTGACCGCTCTTGAAGCAGTGGAGCTGTTGGCGGTTCAGCGGTTGTAGTTTATGTTATCATATCAAACCATTGTTTTGATGATAACAGTCACGTTAAACGTCGTAGGAAAGATGTTTTATTTCGTATGTTTCTTTCAAGTCTGGTAAAATTATTACAAATATTGTTTAAAACTTAAACAATGCAATAGTAAATTATTTTTTTAAGGTTAAGTAACAAGATTATTTATTTATTTATTCCACCAAAAATATTTTACAGCGAAATTCAAAGATACCTAAATCCAAACGATATTAAATAAATTATAGAATCCAACAAATTTTAACTTCAGATAAATACTAAAATCCACTAATTGAAAAATCAATTTTTATTTTTTAATTAAAATGGGGATTTACTGATTACTATCGATAAAACGATAAAACATCGCCTGCTGTGATTTAATTACAAATATATGATATTTGTTACTAATCAATTATGTAATAATTACTGTTACTTTTCAAACTAATAATATCTAATATCAGAGGGACTATTGTTGTTAGTACGGCGTTTCCCGCCTTTATGTTCTTTTTTGATTGTTCCTAAGTTTTGGGTTGTTCATCTAGACAATAGTAAACAATGTCCAAGAAGGGATTTGATGATGAGCATCTCATTGAAATACTGATATTCCTTCTCCTTATGAACCACATTTCCTCTTCTTCTTCTTCCTCAAATAAAAAAGTAGCAGTCAGAGAAAGGATGTCCATTTTTTTATCTTCGAAAATAAAGCGAAAAGTTCGAAGGTTATAGGCAGATTATAACAACTCCAGTGAGCAGTTACAGCGAAATAGCTACGCCATAGCGGTTTTCAGCTTGAAATTGCGGTTGCTGTCGTGGGCCGTGCCAGTGAAATAGTACCTTAAGCCGTCTTAGATTTTTACCTCGTCCAGTATGTTGCAACTGGTGTCCAACCAACGTATAGCCGAAGGGCCATAACGTGTAGCCGGCTGTACTTCTCCCTCTCTCACTCTCTCTCTCTCTCCGTTAGCCGTGAGCTGTAAATCGGTAGAGCAAGTGGGGTTTCAGGTTAGCCACTGACTTTCTTTCCTGAAGTCGGCTGTGAGAGCTGTGTAAGTGAGCTTAGTCATCAAGCATCTGACCTTTAGACGTAGATACCCCGTCTTCGAGAGTTGGTAGGACTGAATGAGACCGAGGGCCCCCATGTTATTATTTCAAAGCAACAAACAATATAATATTTAATAATATATATATGTATACAAAATTATTGATGTAAACCCAGCAATTGCTATATACATAGTAAAAAAAATAGTATATAAGTAATAAAAAAAATTACAATTTTTTTATTTCTTTTCTATATGTATTCATATTCAGGAGCTATTCATTCATTTTATTATTGTTGATAAACATCTAAGAATAAGAAAAAAAAGAGAGAGACAGACCAGCAACATATCTGTGAAAAATGTTTCTGATGATGGGAAGAACATTTCCCAAAACGTCCAACAAATGTAATAAATTAACTGAAATCATAAAGAAGTTATGTTGTATAGCTCACTCCAGTAAAATAAGAAACTTTCCAACCAAAGAAAAGATAAGGAGAATTTATAATAACTAGTTTTATTTATAATAAATTTAAAGCTATGAAATTTCCACATACTATTTTGAGGACAGGTATAAACCTATTCCTTAGAAATATTTTGTGAAAAATCATTAATATTAAACCTCCTGATATTAAATTCTATTTTGGTGATTGTATAATTTTTTATAGATTTTTAGGTAAATGTTTATCAACATAAAGTTATCAGATCAAGGTATTAGACCAAATGTATACAAAATGTTTTACTTATATCAATTTAGGACAACTTTAATCAAAAAGCTAACTCCAAACTTAAGTTTGTTTAATTTAGAAGTGCCGAAGTTATGGAATTAATTAAAAAAAAAAAAAAATGAAATTAGTATCATTCCTAAATATTGTGTTTTATCTTATCATGATGGTGTACAAATAATATTTATTTCTTATAGTATCTAAGAGTATATATTAAATAATAGTATTACTAACTAAGATTTATCACTCATCAATATCAGTAAAAAATGTATACAAATGCTAATAAGGAATGATATTATCTTACTGTTAGCATGACTGGTAATAATGGATGGTATCTATTGGTTCTTTTTACCAACTTTTGAAAGCTAACTTGATATATTCACCCAGTCCTAAAAATTATGTAAACACCCAATCCTAAAAATTATGTAAAGATTCATTTTGTGGTAGTGCCACAAAATGTTGTTCAACTGCCTGACCATGAACCTGCTGTGCAATCATTAAGGGTCAAGAAGTTTTTTCTTAATAGATATACACTCCATACATACATTTCAGCTGTTGCTATTTTAGTGTTCTCAAGCTTTCCTACACTATTCCACAAGATAAAAAATGTGGTATTTTGTAAAGGCTATCACAGTTAATAAGATCTATATCTATATCAGCAAAAGAATAAATAAACCCTTTGATACAAAATTAAGATAGTCATTGAATGAACTATTTACCAATGAAAGAACTTCTTAAATGTGAATCACTATAATATATTAAATTTGGTTTTGTACCAACGGAGTGGAATGGTTCAAATAAATTTCAATGAAATGTAGCGTTACCTCTACTATTTCTCATTAATCCATTAGATTATTATCAATTGTTGACCACCTTATTTCATTAGGTACATTCACAAGACATTAAGTTTCTGTTTTATTTTCATATTTACAGAAGTGTAAGAAAGTTTTTAATAATCTTGTAGTAGATCCTGAAAAAATTCCAACTCTATAATTTTGAGAAACAAAAATGGTTTCATTTAATACTTAATGATTTGAAAGAAACATTTATTTCTATCAATATTGTTTTGTTTAAAGTTAAAAAAACAATTATTGTCTTTTGTTATAGAATATGTAAGGAAATATGCTACAGAAGAAGCTCTTAGAGAACAAGAACAGCAAGCTGTTTCATCCGACAGTGAATCATCAATGTCTGATTTTAGTGAAGATGAAGCGCAAGATATGGAATTATAACAAAGGATTTTTTCACGAGAGATGTATATAGAGCCTAATAAAAGTTTTGTATTATAAAGTGATTTTTATGGAACAAGTTTTGAATGAAAGAGGAAATACTTGCATGTTCTTATCTAGTTATTTTGTATTAAAATATTTAGTTAACTTTGGTTACATACATACTGTGGTTGTTTTAAACACACCATTCAAAACAATACTTTAGTACCCAGGGCTTATTGATTATTTTTTTTTTTTTAATATGTTGATTTCCTTATACCTCTTGCATATTGGTTTATGCTTGAGCTAGTAAATACGATTTTAGTGCTTGTGTGATATAACTTATATGTTGGTTTTTTACCTTTGAGTCAATTTAAACTTACAGATTTCAAACTTTTGTTTCTTTATATTTGAACCATTAGGTTAGTTATGGTATATATATATATATATATATATATATATATATATATATATATATATATATATATAGATTATTTTATAATGGAAAAATTAACCTTATGTTCATAATTATTGAATGAATTAATTAGGAAGCTAAACTAGGAACCAAATTTCATTTTTATGATTAAGTTCTTAGAATTTAATCTTTTGGTTTTCTGAATTATATATTTTTTTATATTATTCATTTTTAAATTGATACCCTTTCCTGATACTGGTAATTAAATTCTGATTTACTTTTTCTTTTTAAAATTAGAATTTTAGGATGTTTTCTTGGATCTTTCAAATGAATTCCTTTGGTTCAATGGATTTTTCAACAGAACATGGATAAATATATGCAGACTTTTTTGTTTTTTCTAATTGAAAACAAAAAAGTCTGCATATATTTATCCAATTTTGATATCATGTTTCAATTTAATTAATTAGTAGTTATATATATTTATTGTCCAGTGATCATGGCTCTAACCTCACAAGTTTTGCAAAATGATGCAGTATGGTAAAAGGTAGTGTTTTATTCCTTCACAGAAATATTTATAAAGGAACATAGAGGTTATTAGATGACTTCATTGTTCCTACCAATGCTTTTCCTTTAAGGATCAGGAACTGTGGTAATAATTTATTCCAGTCTAATCTCATTCGAAGAAAGATTTATTTCAAGAAACCGTTCATCATTAATCATTTAATTTTCAATGATAATTAATCTTATTGTAAAGTATTTGACTGTACTGCATATAACTATCATATTTTTTATCTAACCTGAGTAATTAATTATATTCTCAAGCTAGGTTTGGTCTCCCGATACTATAATTTATACTGGGAATCAGATATATTTAAATTCATCTGACTTTGCTGATAAAGAAAATGATCGATAATAGTATTTGGTGATCATGGCTGGATTGGAGGAGGATGCTATCCTGAAAAAGGATATCATTATTTTATTTGTATTGTTCTATGTATATTTGTATAAAAGAATCAACATCACATTTTTATACCAAATTCTATCCATAGTTGCTTTTAATAAAGAATAAAACTTTTAGTTTCTTATAATTCTTTCTCTTTTGAAGTATTAGGGCTGTGAAATTCATGTTGATTACAATATTGTCTTTCTTATTATACATTGTGTTGATATGAACTGGTCAGGTTTTTTTTTTAATGTAATAATATTAATTATAGTCGGATATTAATAATTTTCCATCTATCATGTTAGTTGTCAATTTGATTAAATATAGCATCACTGAAGCAAATCAATTATTAAAGTTTACTGTCATAGGTAATTTACTATTTTATTTTTAATTTGAATAATATGTGAGATCCTCAATTTTTCAGTAGAAACTTATATACGAATAATTTATCGTTCTGCTTTAAAAAATGAATGCCTTTACATTTATGTGTTATTCATTTAAGAATAACTTTTGAATTAGTCATAGAAGGTCTAATTCAGTAAGTTCTTAAGTGATGTTATTTTAGATACTACAATAATAAAACGTAATTAATGATTAAAGTAACAATATGTTTATGTTTCAAGCCCTGGATATTATAAATAATTATGTCTTTCAAAAACTTCTTTAATTATACAACATTGGATAACTAGAATTTTCATTAGCATTAAGAATTATTAATTGTTCTTACAGAATATTATGTTATGTGATAGCTTTAAAAATGTAAATGGCCAAAAGCTGAAAACTGCATTTTTCTGATGTTTTAAGAATGTCTTATTATATACTATTTTTTTAGGATTTATTTAATTTAATTTTTTATATTTTAAAATTTTATTGCTGTTTTACTTTAGTCTTGAAGTGTTCAATATTTTATTTGTTTTGCTTGTACTCATTTTATTTTAAATGTGATAATTTTATAGATATTCTTATGATTGAATCAATAAATTAATGAAGGAATGCAATAATAGCTAACTATTTATACATACCTTGTGTGTGAGTTTATGTATGGGAATATGTATGTGAATGTGAGTGTTTATATACACACTCACACCAATATATATATATTCATTTACACATATTTCTATTGATATCTAAAAGCTGTAAATAATAGTAAAAGTATAAATATGTTTCAATTATTGAAATGCAATTTACACTTTTTTAAATGTTTTGTACATTAAGTTTATTGAATATTCTTTGCTCTCGAACGTTTCTGGAAAATTGTGTGTTGTTGAAATTCGGAAAAATATAATTGAAGTTTCCTATTTGAACTACTACTTTATTAGATTATTATTTGTTCTTGGGTGGTTTATTTGTATTATATATTAGTAAAAGTAGTATAAACTTAGAAATAAAAAATGGGTATTCTAAACTTGTTAATAAAATCAAATTGTATATAGCAAATATCTTTGTAATCAATTACCATTTAAAATGAATTCCATTTATGTTTCCTTTTGATTTCTGTTACTAATATCAGTTTAAAATTATTAATTACAATATATGGTTTTTTTAATTTATTTTTTTTAATTTCCACTGTTTTACATTGTAGATACCATTTCCACAGCTTATTTTTGTTACTTTTTTAAATTAAATATTGTCATTTTATATGCACTATATATATTTTTTTAATTTTATTTTTACGATCATTTGTTTCAGTCAGCCAAAGATTTTTATTTACTTTCTTATTAATTAAGTATATAACTTTTATAGTATCAAAGTGTTGTAGCTCACAAATGTAAATATTTTTTGTTTAAATGAATTGAGTAAAAACATCAGTAACAGGATATTTTTTTTTTTATTCTGTACACTTATTATTTCCCTTTTCTTTTCTCAAAATCAAACTTGTATGTTAAGGAAAAATGTACAAGTATTTTTTTTTTTCAATTTTGTTATTTGTCTTACTTTTCTGTCATTATATAAGATGAATAAATGAATTTTTTATTCATTTTTCTTTTTAAATTAATAGTTATGCATTGCTTTTGTCTTCTATTAATTATAGTTTTAATTAGTCACTGATATTGCTAATAACTACTATTAAATAAATTACTTAAAGATGATGATTTATGTTTTATATATATTATTTTAATTTTGTTTTTTTAAATACTAATATTTATTCGATCTCATTTATCCACACATTAATTACCTTATTTCATTATTTCAAGTTTTGAAAAATCAGTTATTTGAATTACACAAAGGTGTCATTTTTTCTTGTTTCTTGTTAACATGAATATAAACATTTAAACTTTAAAGACTAAATGTATGCAAATCTTTAAACTTAAAAATATCATGCAATAAATTTTAATGGAGTACAATTATAAATATACTATATGCTGCTATTTTATACAGTGTGCTCTATCTTATATGATGTCTCATTAACAATAATAATCTTATGTGTTAATTTCTATTATCTGGCACCTGAAAAGTTATTACTTTGATATATAATGTTAAATAAATATTAATTTATAAATATATACATAAAGGACTAGGTTCAATGGTGATATCACAAATTGCTGTCTACATACTTCCATCCACTGACTGCCTTCCAAGCCCAGATGTATTTAGTTTTATAGTTTCCGTTTCTTCGCTTAACAGTATCAAGTCATCAGCATGCCTGAGTATTAATATTGTTCCACCCAGATTCAAACCATTTTCGGGGGGCATCACCTCTCTAATGGCCTGTTCTAATACTAAATCAAATAGGACAGGGATTTTAACTTAATTGAATATTTCAGTGATGCACATCCTTACTAGATTACTTACTAAATTGGTATCCTCTGCTCAATCAGAATATTTTAGAGCTGACACTCAATGGAATCATAAAGCTTTTTGGAATTGATGTAAAGTTTGCACCGCTGTATTCTAACTTTTTCTGTATTATTTGCCATAAGAAAACAGTCAAACGTTCCATATGTAAGGACATTTGAGAAATCCATTCAGGATGGATAAGCGATATTGTTTCTCACTTTTAAAAAAAATTATTTAATTTTTAACTTAAGATTAGGCTTTCGGCAATGATGTTCTGTTATCTTTACTGGTTTTCGACTCTATCTTTGCTTAGGTGATAATCATGAGCTGAATAGTTCAAAAGGCCTGGATACACGGGTGCCCAGAAGGGGGTTTCATGGCGCATGTTGTCATCAATATTTTTGAGGGGGTCACATTTTTACTGGATTTTGAATTTTTGAGAGGGACACATTTCGGCAGGATTATGATTTTTTGGAGTGAAAGATTTCAATCCAGAGAACAAGAGGAAAAACATGGACCAGACCACCCTAAGAGTATTTGTATATGATCTACAATCTTTCTAATTCTACTTTTGCTAGTATTTTTAAAAAAAGGAGATAACAAAATTTCTAGGGAGGAAGGGGGAAGTTCATGCATCATCGACCTTAGGGGGATGGGCACCCCTCCCTACATATAAAATAAATTTGTTTAATAATGTGAGAATTGAATTTCTTCCATATTCCGAGGTATTAGACAAGTAAGAAGTAAGAAAAATAATCGAATCTTAAATTTCTAAGACAAAAAATTTAAAAAAATACGTGAAGACCGTTGTTTAAATAAATATCAAAATAGCTTCTTGTAGAAACAATTAAGCTCTACTATTTTGTTCCTATCAACTTTTATCCTAAACTCAACAAATTTCTAGGTATTTGCCTTGAAAATCCGCAATGGAATACCGTAAGATGGGGTAACTTTGGGACAGTGGGTAACATTTAGCTTGTGGTGATACCTTGGTGGATAAACTGTGTTGGTTCAGTCTGAAAAATCGTGCTTTGTGTTGAGGCATGTACTGCGCTACTAGCTGGCGGCACTGCACACTACTCTTGAGGCTCAAGCAAAAATTTTGAAATAAGCAATGGAAACAAATAAAAACTAACTACAGAACGAGTGTAGTGAATTAGGGTTCTCAAGCTGCTGCAAGGTAGTATCGTAGTACATGCCTACACAATGCACATTTTTAAAAATTGAACCAATACGGTGTTGTATCCACCATGGAATCGCCACAAAATAAATTTTACCCGCTGTCCCAAAGTTACCTCATCTTACGGTAATTTATAGTTACATGATTCTCAACTTTCGATGCTTTTTACTCGAAACCAATAAGTATTAGTCTAGTGATTAATAAAAAACTTTTCATGCAGAATTTTACGAAAAATATTTTTGTTCCTAGTCATTATTACCATCTGATGAATGGATTCAAAGTTAAATGAGAAAAACTGACAGTATCAAAAGTGGGGGTAGGAGAAGGGTTTTTTTGCAAATTTTGGGATGTTTTGTTCACCAGGTCGGTGGGAACTCTTTTGATTCGTATTCCTAACTCTAAAAAAAAAAAAACTCCTGTGAAAAGCAAAACTTTCTAAATTATTTTTCACAAATGCCCTTTTTTGGTCTAAGGTCATTGGACTAAAACCCAACTCCCTGGTTTCACCCTTCCTATAAAATCTTCAAAGGTCATTAAAACCATACTTGGGCAGTATTTCAAATGAAATAGTTTAAAATAAAATATATTTTTTGTATTTTGCATTTTAAGAAGTAAAATATTAAATACATTGTGACTGCATTTTCTTTTAATAAATAAAACAAAATGTAATATATCTTTTATTTTAAATAAACAAAATAAATTATCGAATTGAGAAGGTTCCCCTTGAATTATTGTAATAAGATTTGATCGTTTGTATGGGAGTTCTCCCCCATGAAAATCAAGCTTAGACATTATTTTAGGTCGATGTTAAGTTTGTAACACAATGATGTTTGGACATGAAATTGGTTAGCCTTAAAATAATTATGTAGGACAATTATTTAGGGTCTTATCAAAGAAAGATGTTTAGTTTGTTGAAAAAGGGATTTTATTTTTCTTTAATAAAGTTTTCAAGTTCTTTTTAGCAAAGAAAATGGAAGGATTCAATTTATGTATTACCTTAGATAATATTGAAAATGAAATAATTTGACAAAACATCACTCTTATTATAAAATTTCAGAAATAATATTAATTGAAGAAATTAATTTATTCCCAATTATTTTGTTTTAAAGTTTATCCACTGTCTTCTAAGCTTGTATTTCATAAAGCTCTTTTCTCACAAAAATAAACCAATTTTTTAAAGGAATTAGTTAGAAAGCTCCACTTCATGAGACTAGTGCATTTTGCTTTTTGTAGTTAAAATATATTATACATTTGGTATTATGTGTTTGAAATTCTTTTTATAAAAACAATTTCTGCATTTTAAAATAATAATTAAAATCTTTTTGCCCATGTGGGATCATAACCTAATGAAAAGTCCTACCCTCTTCCAGTAACATCAACCAATTGAGAAGATAAATTGTGGAAATGCCCAATTCTGCACCTTCAAGATGGTGAACCATGCATAATCAATCATGATTTATTGTAAAAGAATTCCAAATGAATGCCACATAAATGGCAGCTATTGCCAGATAGAATTTGTCTCCTTTAACAGTCTCTTTACCTTAAATTAAATTAAATTCAAAATCATCAACACTTTTTCTCAGTTCGGCCTTCAGTAGCTGTCTAAAGTATACAAGACAAATCAGTATATCAGATGAAGTACTTACACTTGCTTCAATAGTAGTTTCAAAATTTTACCTGGTTTGTGTACCTCGAATCCTTGATAACTCAAGACAACAGAGGCATCACTTAAATCAGATGTTATATCAATATATAACTTTTTGTCATTTTGATCTTTTTCAGCAATTTAACAGCCATATTTTGTCGATATTGCCATATTTTGTAAAGATTAACCTTAGAAGGTCAACCTATACACACACAACAGCGCAATTACGACTCGGCGACGAGTTGTTGCGCTGTTGTGTGTGTATAGGTTGACCTTCAGGCAAATTAAGGTAAAAAGTTTTTTTATTTCTCATTTTTAATTTTTTTTTTTTTTGTTGTGTTTTTACAGTAATTAAATAAATTTTGTCCAAAAAAATTTGTAAAATAAAATAGTGCTGTTGGACTTAAAAAAGTTTGTTTTAAATTATTACATTATAAAGGAGTTGTTAAATTACATGACAAAGTTTTTGACAAAATGAGGAGAAGAGAAATTTTGTGGAATTTCGGAAGAAAAAATAAAATATTTTATATAACAATTACTACCATTGAGTAGTATTATATATACATATACACACACACACACACACACACACACACACATATATATATATATATATATTAGGAAATTTTAAAAATAATGTTTTTATAGGACTAATATATATTTTTTTTTTAAAGAATTAGAATTTTTGAAAATGGCTCTTGGATTCGAAAAGTTAAAACATGATAATTTTTCAATGTTTTAATTGTATAGAAAATACAGTGAGATTAAAAAGGATTTTGATAAATAAATAATCAAATATAGATTAAATATAATAAAGTTTTTATTTCATACTTATCAAATGTTACAATGATTAGGTATTTTATAGAAAAAACAAACATATTTTTAATGTGATGTATTTATTACAAGTATAAAACTACATATTTTAAATTTTACAATATAACTTAAACTGTGAAATGGATTGCTAATAATACAAACAAATAATGATAATAAGTTTAATTTAAAGAACCTCAAACAAATCAAACCCAGAAAAACACAACCAGATTTTCTACCTTTAAATCAGTAGGGTGACTATAATTATAAGCATATAGATGAGATATATTATGTAAGATATCTGTCAGTTTTACGATTAAATCTGATATTAAAGATTTATATGGTACATAATTTCAAAATTATCAAAACTTCTTTATATATTATAGTAATACTCCTCCCTCCCCCTCACTCTCTCTCTTTTTTCTTCCTCTAGTTTCTCTATTGTTCAGCAAATATTTATAAAACAATCTGGTAGATATTTATTCTGAGTTATATTAGAAATCAGTATCTATAGATTGTTTGGAAAAAAACAATCAATGAACACTCACTTCTAGTTCAACATTCAAATAGTTCAAAATCTATTTCTCAATTCTCAAAAATAGTTCAGTATTTTTATAATTCTCATTAGTTATTATTTATTTGTTTCTAGTTAAAAAATATACAAAAAATAAACAATTTTTCCAATTTTTGGAAGGCTAAATTATAGATTCCAACACTTGAAACATAAACATTTGTAACATTCAATAGAAAAGAATATAAAATTTCTCATTCAGGAACCAATGTCCAACACAATCAATAGTTTAAGGCCTTATGTATCTTTAGAAACATTATGTTCTTCCTGTACAACAGCAATACTTCTTAAACTTCGGGATCTTTCAAAAAGGGATGGATCTGTATATATCGGCTCACTTGGATCTTCAAAATGTCTCCTACCTGGAATACCACTCATACCATGTTTTCCAGTTGTGTCAAGCATACATCTTGAAGTCCTATAATTATAATACAAAATCAAATCCAGGAACTTAATATCCAATGACGATTTGGCAGACATAAAGTGTTATTAAAATTAAAATAAAAAAATAAATAAGGTGCTCAAAAATAATAATTTTTAATTATAATGAAGATTATCTGTTTTCGATCCTATTCAAAGCTTATATTTATTTTATTTAATATCGCCACAAATCTAACAAATGGAAATTAAATTCATCATATTAAATTATTTATGCTTATGAAGGAGGATGGAATTGCTTCTGAATTGGATGACTCAGTGGGTAAGGCAGTGGGTTCAGGTTCAAGCTTGGTTGTTTTATCTTTTTTCTTACATAAAAGAAATTATGAAACCTTACCTTCCATTTAAAAATGACTTATTTAGAGTTGGCATCAGAACTGAAAATACATTCTGTCTATTTTCTTTTCCAAAATTGTGTGATGCATGGTCAGTCACTAGGTTCTTTTTTATTATTCTCCAGTTTTGCCTATCAAAAACAAAATTCATATGAAAATTACAATTATGACAAACGTTGTAATTTTGTGTTTGTTTTTTTTTTGGGGGGGGGGGGTTTAGTGTTTCACATTCCACCATTTTCACTGACCATATATGAGAATATAAGTTATGTGAGATGAAACATTGAAAAAATAATATTAGTGCATAGTTCTATTATTTTTATCTTGTTGTTATTTAATAATTTCTAGCTTATTTATACTCAAAAGTAATGTCTAAACCTCCAGCTATATATATATTGATTTAAATAATTCAATTGAAGACAGCATCAATAACTTGATAAGTTACAAAACAAAAAAAAATGAGTTGGCCAATTTTAGGTAAGCTGTCAGACATTTCAGACAGGCTAAGTGTTATTGAATTAGTATTGATTTGCTATATTGATAACTGTGACATTTAGCCCACTTTTTAGGCTACAGGCTATGACATTTAGGTTAGGTAGAATTTTCTAATTAATTTTTTTTTTTTTTACACTTAGCAGGTTATTGATATCCAGTCTTCATTTTATTATAGGTTAAAACAACAAAACTTCTCATAAACCAGACTGAATGAAATAAAATAAAAACATTTTTTTTTCTTTTTGTGTCTTTTTTTTAATGCTAGTAGTTATTTGTATTGACATTATTTCTGTAGAACAAATATTTAAAATTTTCTTACCTATAATTGATAGCTCCATAAACAATAACAATAATTAATAATATAAACACCATAGCCATTGCTGAAATTAAAGTGTAATATTCTTTACCAGTTAGGCATACACTTCTGTCAATGACGTCTAACCTTTGTTGTTGAGGCATTTCATATCTTGATTCAAATACCTTTAACATATAATTAAACTTAGAATTTTGAATATTGAGGAAAACGGACCATCATTAGGGAACTCTACTTACTTTAATCATTTCTCTTACATGTTCTTCATTGTCTGTTGAATTGTTAATTGTTGCAATTTCGTTGGTGTAATCTTGATTTCCAGATGTTTCTCTCTTTTTTCTTCCCAGAGAAGGTTCACTTTTTCCTGAATTTCCAGTACAATATGCCTTAAAATAATACAAAGAGGTCAAAATTAATTACTTAGTTACATTATAAATAAATAACTGTAAAAGTATTTAGTTTACAGGTTGGCATCCTTCTCTACAAGTTCGAACTGTGGCTTCAAAAACAAGAAAATTGGATTCTGGAATTTTAAATGCATTAAAACGTGCTTCCAGTCCATCTCCTTCTCGCGATCTATCCAATCCTGGGAAAACATAGTTATCCACTGGGCATCTGTAAATATATTTATAGTTTTAGAACTGCTCAAAATAAAATAATCATATAACAAATTGTTACGGATCTTTAGTTAAATAACTATAAATGATAAATATACCCGAAACGGTCAATCAGTTGAACAGAACGTCCAGAGTAAGGGTCTCTAGCAATTACATTTGTTGCAAATATATCTGTAGCATAATTATACCCATCCTGTGCTTCTAATCTGAAAGTTAATGGATCTCCAACAGCTATTGTGTTTGTTGGTCTTCCTTGAAATAAAATAAGAAGCCTAACTCTTGAACTCAAGGAATTTTCTGCTGGTAAATATTCAATAGGTATTGGGCTTCCAGAACTAAAAACATAAGTTTGAATTTTTACTGATAAAATTTTAATCAACTATAACAGAACATTCTAAGAAAGAGGTTATATCAACTTTTCTTGCAGTAATAATCAAACAGAACATTTTATAATAAGCAATATGTACATGCTATGAAAATGTAATATTTTAGTTTTAATTTAAAAAGTAGGCAGTATGAAGTTAGTAATATGTAACTACTAATAGAAAATTTGAATTATTCCACCTTACAATTAAAATTATAAGTTTGTATGATTAATAAATATATGTTTTTTTTTTTAAATTATGATACAGAGATTGAAAATGGTATGTGAACTTACTTAGCAGTCATATAACTAGATGTTACTACGGCTTCACCTGGTCCCCGAAGAAGACAGGTTAGATTATAACGTTTGTCTCTGCCAGTTTGGACAGAATCACTGAATTGAACCACCACAATATTTGTCATTACATCACCATACTAAAAAAAAACAGTCCACTTTATAAAAAATACAATGAAGTAAATTCTTTTCCATATTTCCACCCTCTGATACCAATAAAGTACTTAAATATAACTACGAAATTAATTTGATCACGCCAGCTATCAACTTTAGAACAAATTGTTCTTTAATGAAACTTAAATTTCATATTAGATATTTATGTATCTTATATCAAATACTAATTGCTAATTAAATTTATTTAAGAGATTTTATGATAAGTTTTTATTTTGAACAAAATAAGAACCTGTTGATAATTATGACAGTGACCATGCATCATTTTTTCAATCAGATTGCATGAAGATTTCATTTGAATCAATGGTATTTTTTTTATAATCTTTATTATTTTAACTCATTAATAAATTTTAAAAAGAGAAATTAATATCTTTTGGTCTAAAATACCAACAAAGACCAATTGCAAATATTTAAAAAAATTGAAATATTCAATGTTTCTTTTTGAAAACTTATTTATTTCACTAAAATAATTTGAATTCTAAAAAACTATTTTTTTATGATAATCTAAAGCTGGATTAAAAACTAGTTCTTACTCTCTGTGTTCCACAATCTGGATATCCTTGTGCTCCGCTAATTCTTAATACATTTGCAGTTCCTCCATTTCCCCGATAAAAACATCTATCATAATAACCATGAGTATAAATTCTTCCTATGAATGGCTCAGGTGTTCTTAAAGTGAACTCCATTCCATCTTCACTGCATACCTGGTTGACTGTTAAAACAAACATTTGTCCATTCTTTATTCAATTATTCTTTTTTTTTACTAACCATTATTCATTTTAATTCCCAGATTTGTATAACTTATTTAGAATTGTGGAATAAATTATAATTCTATTCTATAGTTATTACTCTTTAAATTTTTAAGAAATAAATTATAATTTCAAAATAATCACACAATTTGATCTAAAACTTGAGTGCATTTGTTTTTCTTTATAAGTATAAATTATTGAGTTTTATTTTGACAGACCCTTACTATCATTCACATTTTCTATTACTGCAATTAATTTATTTCATTTAATTATTTATTGAAATTAATAAAAAAATGGTCATTATGAAAATTTTACCATCTAAACACTCTCCTAAACCAGATCTTCCACCTGAGCGTTCATAGAAGTCAAAATCTGCAGTTGTTTCAAAAAATGAAGGATTATTGAGATTCAAGTCCCGAGTATCATGGTCACTTAATTCACAATTTTCTTTTTGTGGAGCAAAGGGTGCTGCTGGGGGTGTTGCTCTAAAATATAAAATAATAATAAAGCTATTTATTTTTCAATTGTTCTTACTTTTATTCATTTTTACTTAAATAAATGAATTTAAAATCTCATGTTTAGAACACGAGAACTTCAAACCTTCAAACCTCATCCTAATATAAAAACTAGGATCTTATTTTCTTTCACTGATTACTTCACTGAAAACTTGGGCAAAGGTTGTTCAGTAACTTAAGTTGGGATGACCATTAATGGATACTCCCCAAAGATTACTTTGTCTTCTCCAAATTTTTTATTTTTTTATTTGGCACTTGATGTGGTTAGTCTTTTACAATATAAAAAGTAAATATGCATAATTTGTTTCAATGTTAAAAAAACTTTTCAAAAGTACTAAAATACAAATCTAATGAGTTAACTGAACAGTTTGTAATATCTAATAAAATCTTGGTTTCCAAGAGTACCCAGTCATATTAGTATACTTGAATAAAGTATATATACATAAAGTATTTTTTCTGATTAAGTTTTCACTTTATTCATATTAAAATTGTCATATATCATATTTTATTTACCTGAAGTTGAAAGATCTGCAAACAAATTCACGAGTTTCTAAACAAGCTTTCTCACAAATGCTTAGTGATGCTACTGAAAGGAATCTTCTTATAAATTGCCTTCTTGCCCTGAGTCGTACACCAACTTGCTTAAAACCATCAGCTTCATCACAACGAGATATAAAAGGTTTTCCTGGTTCGCCTGGTGGAATATGGGGACTTAAATAACCTCCTGGACCCCCAGGGCCTCCAGGACCTCCAGGACCCCCAATTATACTATTGCTTCCAAATCCACCTAGTTAAAAATATATATACAATATATGTATCGGTATATTTCATTATTATGAGTATGAATCTAGAGAGGAAAAAATTGGAGAAATTATTGCTTTAAAAAATTAATAAACTATATGATCACAAAAGGTTAATTACCAAATGGTGGTTGATCTGGTGGTGGTTGTGCTGGAGGCAAGCCCCAGTATGCTGGAGGTTCTGCTCCTATTGGAAAATGACTACCACCATAGTATCCTCCACCCAATCCACCACTTCCATACTGTCCACCACCTTGAAAAAAAAATGATTTTGAAGAAGGTTAAGATAATATTAAAACATAGTTTTATATTTCAATAAAGGTATATTCCAATGAACTTTTAAGTAATAGATCCTCTTTACTCAGTACTGCTGGGACAAACATCCAGCCAGTAATAAGGACCGCATATAAGGCAAAACATCATATAACAGTAATAATCCATTTCTTCCCTTTCTCCTCTCCCAAACAAAAATAATTAATAAGATAGAGAGATAATCGTTAAAAACTATCTTAAGGAAAACAATTCACTAGTAAAATTTTTATATTCAAGATTAAATAATTTACTTTATATAATTATGCTGGATAAGGTGGTACTTCAGTTAAAAAAATATCAGATACAAGAGATTTAACAGCAATCATAGAGATACGTTATACCAAGAAGCAAATGTATAAAATTTAGCCTCTAAATTTAAGTTTTTTTTTTTTTTTTTTAAATTCAAATACTGATGTATTGCACACTAATAAAAGTAATAACTATGGAACAATTATATTATATCCATTGGTTAAATATTTTATAAATGATAAATATTTTCTAATTATACTGATAAGTTTTAAATTATTGCTTAATTATCTACTTTTTTATATAATTCATCCATATCCTGTATAATAGTCAATAATATATCATCTGCATAATAATGATATCTAAAATAGCCAATTAACTTCAAAATCGTGGATATATTTTTATTATTTATTTTGAAGAAGAAAAAAATGCTGACTTCTCTATCCAAAGTTACTAATTCAAAAAATCATCTCTGCAATCATAACTGTTAAAAATAACAATTTGGAATACTATTCTGGTACATTCAATAAGAATGATATGTTTTAGAGATCTTTAGTAACATTTTTAAGAAATATTTTAATCATAGATGAACTAAATTTTAATGTTAAAATAAAGGAGTATGTATGTTTTTATTGTAATGTAAAATTAATTTCAATTTTCTAAGTAGTATTCAAACCACTGTTATGTCAAGTGTAAGGTTACTACAACCATAAACTTGTAACTTATCTGTATGACATGTTGTAATATATAAAAAAAATAAAAATAAAACAAAAAAAATTGTAATGTATTTACAATATATATATATATATAATAAATTTATTATTTATTATACCAAAATAACATACCAAGGTGTTGCGGTGGTCTACTTTGTCCAGGATATGAAGTGTCTTGACCCAGGGGATCTGGTCTATGCTGAGGGTTTGAGCCAGGTATTTCTCCTTCTAAATAGTAATCTGAAAATATAATATTCCAAACTCAATGTTTAACAATACAAAAAGTATTTTTATTTGTTTTACATTTATTATAAAAATTGTACTTGTTTTTTTATGTTAAGGAGAAAATACAACAATTATTTGTCTACTGTAATTCTGAAATCTGGGCAACCATCAAATAAGGGCGAATACCAACCGCTCTTTCATTTTGAAAGGAACTTCCTTTAATGTAATCTTTGGAGTTTAATGTAGAAATTGTATTTGGATGAATGGGAAAAGCTTAAAATTAGGTACAAACAGTTAAGATCAGAAGACGTAAATGATGCAAAGTATGTGAACATAAGTCAAGCTAAAACAAGTCTTAACTATTCCATATAGTCAATGATTTGGGTAAAAGAAACAGGAAATCAGTATCATAAGACAGGGGGAAACATGGTTATTCTGGGTGGAAGAAGTAAAAAATAAACATAATAGAATATAACAATGATTTTATTTTTTTCGAAGCCATTATAAAACTTCTCCAAGATTTTTGTATAATTTAGTCTAGAGGCTTGATATGAATTGGATTGCATCAATTTCAAAACTTTTGAATATTAATATTAGGTAATATTGACACAAAAAGAAAGAATACTTTAAGTAGCAGTTAATTTTAGTCTAAAGTTGGCACTAACAGTTTCAAGGAGGGAAGGCTTCTAAAAAGATTTATAGATTCAATAAATTCTTAATCCTTACAGTTTTTTGTATTGGCGAACGTTGAAATATTTATTAGAATGAAATAAAAAGTAATAAATAATAAGAATAATTTTTAATAAATAAAAATCTCACTCATTAAATTTTCATAATAGTCATAATCAGCATCATATATGATACGGTGACCATCCCTTTGATTGAACCTGCTAAGGCGGCAGATTCTGAATCTGTCACTGTAAACCGCTGATCGGCATTGAAAACTCGCTTGGCGTAAGCATTCGTCAAGGCATTCACTCAGTGATCTTCCAGTGATTTCAGAATGGAATTCACCGCCGAGCCTGCTGTTCCTATATCTTTGAAAAGCTGTATCTGGCCGTCTCCCATCGGCGAAAAGGTGCGATGTTCCTGAATTGTCTGCAAATTCACTTCCCTTTGCTATAACATAAAAAAAAAAAAAAAAAAATCTATGAATAATTGGCATAGTCATCTAATAACACTTATAAAATAATTATAGTGATTATATTAGTATGACAAGAAAAAAATAAATATTAAATGTGTTTTTTTGCTTATCTCGTTTAGATGTACATAAGTGTAAAATAAAAACAAGGCAAGGAAGGAGCACATGTCCCGAGGGACAAATATCTAACAAAATTGGTTTTTGGATTAAGAGAAAACTAATTGTTTCTGCCTTTTGATCCTTATTCTGTCAATAAAGTGAGTTAATGTTGTAAAATGGTGATATTTATTTTGGAATATATTACCAAAAATGATTTCATAAAATATAGACTTAAATTAGGGGGCGGTGGGAATTGAAAGAAGGGGGCTGCAAACTTAAGTTTGCCCATCCTTCCAAAAATCGTTGGACCCACCCCGAGTCTGCTTAAAACATTAAATTGAATAAATATATTTAAATTAAACGTAAATGATTATTTTTTAGACCCCCAAATTGTTCATGTCAAATCAACACACATTTTCTTAATACTTGTTCTCTTAAAATATTTTTGAAAAATTAAATTAAATACAAAAAAGGAGCCATAGCGTTAATTTTCAAAATGCCAAATATTATATTTTGCGATAATAACGCTAAATAATAAACACTTTTTGACTTCGGCCTTGTATAAAAACTGTACTGATAATTAGATAATATTGTTCTAAACATATTGATTAGTAAGACAATTTAGCGACTCCAATATTGTTTATTATATCGGATTACCTATTTTTTTTTTTAAGAATATAAAAATATATATAAAAAGTATATTACACTCACGGCTATCCAGACAGACCAGGTCGTACAGATCGTGCGTTGGACTGCTGCTTATTCTCAGGTCATCTTTTTGTGACAGGGAATCTTCCTCGAACACAATGCAACGTCGAATTTGTTCGTCATATTCAATTGATCGACAGAAATACCTGTTGATTGAGGATGATAATTTAAAAGGTTGAGCTAACTTATTAATTATAGAAGAACACTGTGTTTAAAATATACTAAAATTGATACTGTCAAGACTAAACTAAATGTTTTGTACTTAATGTTGGTACGATTTATTTAAATTAATTACAACAAAGCATACATACTTTTCCGCTCTCAAACATTGCGCTTGACATTCGATGAGCGACAAGTTCGTGTAAATGTCAACTTCGAAGGGTCCACCAAGTCTCTTGTTTTCCTCCTTGACGAAGATTATTGGTCCATCACAACGTCTTTCAGCTGAAATGATTGAGTGGTATTAAATATAACCGACAAGTTTAAAATACAGATACAACTCCTGTGAAATCTTTATATTGGGTTGTCTTGAAACTAATATAGCTTTATTGTTTCAAAATAAAACAAATAAAAATAATAAGAAGCTATTTATATTAATCAAAATACCCTCCACTGCTCTCGATACATTTATAGAAAACGTGTCAGTAATTTCTCTATTCTCTCTGAGTAGAATGTTGGTTCATTATTATTAACAAATTCTGAACATGCATTTTGTAACCAAATTTTTTATCTTTCAAAATTTGGCCCAGATAATAAATAAATGGTAGTCGGTAGGCGAAATGTTTGAAGAATTGGTCGGGTGAGGTTTCTTTCTATTTCGTTATGAAGTGCAGTGGTCATGTATTTTTTGCGGTCGTTTAATAAAAGAGAAACCGGATTTTTAAGCTATTTTACAAATTTCCTTTAGATGGTAGATTTACTAACTCAAGATTTCTCTTCGATTTTCTTCGACAAAAGCTTTCAGAATATTTTTTTCAAGGGAAGAGTTCTTCCAAGACCATCTTTGTCTTCAAGGCTGTATTCTACCTCTATATTTAAAAAAAAACAAAACAATAGTTGAATGGTGTACCAAATCGCCCTGCCATCGTCCAAGACTTTATTAATGTTTCTGACTTTTTGGGCCCTGTTCCGACTGAGTTAAACCCGTAAAACGAAATACTGCAAAAATCAGGTGCTTTGATATCTTACTAATCATTGATTTATTTCGAACTAGTGAAACGTTACAAAAGATGAAAAACATTTTAGTTTGGAAGAGGATTAAAAAGTTTTGATACCCATACAAAAGCATGATCCTTCAAACGTAGTTATATAGTTGGTTGATATAAAAAAAACATGAAATCCTCTTTATACAGGTTTGTAGGTGTTACACAGTTTATATATTAGAGTAGCTATTTGTTGTAGAGTAATAGAGATAAATAAGGAATACCGTGAAAGATAAGGCTTTATTAAATTGAATTCACCGCACAATAGTGAGATTAACTTAATTAATTCTCCACTGGCTTTAGCACCAGTGACGCGGTTGAGAGAGTAGCGCAGGAATCTCTTGGAGTCATGATTTTCCCTCTATAGTTGGAGCCACAAGCCTGGCATGGAGTTCCCTGCCTAATTGTATATAGGTATAACTGTGTTTTTATGTTTTTAATTTACTTATCTTTAGGTTATTTTATTTTTTATTGTACATAGCTTTTGATTATTATTTAGTTATTATTTTACTTGTGTTAGTTTTATGTTTTATTTTCTATATAGTGGGAATGTGATCATATTTCACCATAATTATTGTCCACTTGGCAGGTTATTCTATTTCTAAATAAATAAATAAAATAATAAGTTTAAGCATCTAACATATGTTTTTAGAAACAGTTGATGACTAGATCACAATATATCATATATCGCTGTTCACGAGAAAAAAGGTCCTAGTGGTAACGAGAATTTAACCCATTTTTAAAGTTTCTTAGCGAAATTGTCTTAATTGTAGAAATTCTGAAAAAATCTTTTTAAAAAATAATCGCAATAATATAGTGAAATTGAGGAACACTATAGTGAACGAGTTGTACTGAATAAAGGGCTGCGTTACCGTATGCATCAGTTCACCTTCGGAGTGTCAAGCGTGCTTGAATTGGCCCACGGAAGGATATCCGGCCATTCGTGAACACATTAATACACGCTATATTGCTCTGTTGCGCTAATATTTTATCTGCTCATGGTGCCGTTAGATCTAATATTTTTCACCTCTTTTTTTTATTCTGGCATTTAGATTTGCTCCCAACTGTTAAAACATTCCACTTGAAAAGTCTTATAATTATGTATGACATTTTAATGGACCTGAACAACAGACCTTGATCCGCCAACAATTTAATATCATTGAAGTCGAAAAAAAATTTTTTTCTTAAAAAAGCTGTTTTCCTTTCTCCTTAATTCACCTCATTACATTTTATATTTGAAATCCTATTTTAAAGAAATATTATTTTATACTTTATCTTTACATTCGCAATATATAGAAGGGGTACTTTCTTTCCCAGCATCAAGAAATAATAATACACAAAATATTTCGATATAAAGAAAACTCTGAGCTCTGTAACAGAAATAATATTAAGTTAGATTACGCAAGTAATAGAATAATTTCCTATGCAATAAATATATGAGGAGAAAAACTAGAGTGTCTATGTTGCATAGCCTTTACAAGGATTTAGACAGCGACTTAGATGAAAGGTATTACATATCAGATGTAAATAAAATGAATTTTATTAAAATTTATATTTAAATTGCGTGGACGGTGTTTCTTAACAATAGTGTAATGATCTACAAAATGTAGCATTCGTAATTTGAATGTAATTGAGAATGTATACCCCTACGTCCGATTTCACAGGAATATAGAGTCAAGTATTTTAAGAAAAAAAATAATAAACCACAATGAACTTGTAGAATTACTGAATAGCAAAGATTTGAGCAGTTTATTTATGTATCATATATTTTCTTATAAATATACAATGTTCTTAATTCAGGAAAACAATACATAACATATTCAACAAACAATATTTATTTCTTGTTGTATTGTCAATTGAAAGTTAATTTAGATTATATGTATCATTAAAAAAATATTGGTTTATATTTTCGAAGTTTATTGTTTTTATTTATTTATTTTTTCATTGTATATATTTTTGGGACAACTCTTCGCAGTTCTATACCATGCCAATAATAGTTTTGTTTTTATGTTTTAAAGAAAGAAGTTGTAAAATTTATGTAATATGGAATGGAGTATCTTTATAATTTAAAAAAATTCACCTTAACCATTTTTTTCTAGATTACACTCAAGCGGTACGGATCCTAATATTAAACTCTAACGATATTCTTGCATTGATATAAAATCTTTGGCTTTTGAAAAACATCAGAAACTTTTAATAAATTAATTAGAGATACACGTGACATTATTACCGTACAATATTTACCAATAAGGTTAAAAACAAATTTATATTTTCTTCAGTATTCGATTTCCTTTTGTAAAACATTTCCAATGCTTACACCTCTCCTTAATACGACAAGCACTCAACTAATGATTTTAAGTCTTCATTTGTTAACGTAATTTAAATTATATTTATTTTTTTCATAATAAACTTAAAACAATAATGAACCCTTTCAGCCATCAATTTTAGTTCAAAAACTGTCTCCGATAATCCAGATTTGGTGTCTGAAAAGGTATTGCCTTTGGCATATGTATCATGACTATGTGGCGTATCTGTTGTAGTTAATTTTAATGTCATCCTTCCAAAAGGGTGGAAACAAATATTTTTTTTAATATTTACCGTTGAGGCAGGTGTTTTCAAGATAGTCCGAGTTTGGATCATCTTCGAGGAGTTGAGGATGCGACCTTCTGGTGAATCTGCTTAGCCAGCACGTTCTCGCAGTGGCATCGTAAGTAACGGATCGGCATACGAAACTGAACTCGTTCAAGCACCTGAAAATTAATGAAACATCTTGATATACACTGTATTCTTATATTTCATGATGGTGAGATCAGCGTTTCGAACAGCCATTGAAACATATTTTTATTATCGCTGTGCCTACTTGCATCTCTCGAGTTCCTCGGTTAATTCGCTCCGAGTTGGTTATGAAAACAAAATTCTTATAGCCTGTTGCAGTAAACTAGGGATTCATATTAAAGTGATATTGATATAAACATATAACTCGAGGGATACAAGAACCGGTACGATAAGATATCATGCCACAGGCGGATCTATGGGGGGGTTTCAGGATAAAGTCTCCTCCCCATAAAATGGTAAAATATGAAACTATGTCTTATAAAAAAATCTATCTGTGAAACTATTATTGTTCGTTTAATTACATTAAAAGAACTTCAAGAATTACTAAACACCATTTCATAAAAGTAGTTAGTTTCTTTCTTTTTGTTAAGTAATTTTCGTTATATATACAAAAGAAAAATACTTTGGTGTTGAAGCCCCTCCCCCCCAAAAAAATGAGTTCCGGATCCGCTAGTGTATCATGCTGAAGGTATAAACGCAGAACGAAATATGGGAAAACTATTTCTTGTCTTGGAGTCCACGTTTCAGATTCATTTTATTCAGTTCCTTTTATTAATTTATTGCAACAACCACACTTTTATTACAGTAATCAGTTTGGAAAGGTAGATATAGAGCAAAATATACCAAACGTGAACCTTTAAATAAAAAAAAAAATCACGACTTGGTTTTAAAACCAATGAATTCGTATCATGTAAAGTTTAATGGTTACAACAATATGAATATCTCTTTTGCTGCTGAATCTCATGTTGGGAATAGTCCAAAAATACCACAAAGTTTTTATAACTACTGCTTGTAAGAAAAAGTGACATCAATGTTTTTTTTTTTGATAAAATCGAATATCTGAACTATTTTTTTCTGTCATAAATTGATACTAAGAAATATTTTTCCTTGAAGTGATTATAGAAAAATTGAATTAAGAGACTCAATACATTTTTTCCTTCATTTTAATTTTAGAATTGAAATACTTGAAAGTGCTAGGAGATGATATCCCTTATTAGATTGTGATAATTTTGTGGTTGAATAAGTATTAAGTTGAATAAAGTTAATTAGTTAATTATTTTTAAAAATTCATTCATCTGAATTAATATGTATATTACATGATCCTAAACCTAGTGTACCATTCTGTTTGCTGTTTTGCTGATGCATATTAAAATGTGATCGCAGACTGAAAACATTGTTTTGTTTTTTTAAAATAAATTTTACCCATTTTTCAAATTTAAAAATATGTTTTCAAATTTATTGACCTGTCTTCACAATCTGTCCTGTTTGCGGCGATCACTTCTTTAATATCCGATACTGCTAATTTGAGTTTTTTCCTCGTGTGTCGTTCGAAAACGTAGTGCCGGCTGGGGCATTCTCTTTCAATTCTGCTGGCTGAAAAAAAAAATATATACGGTTGACATGTATATTTTAACATCAATAAACTGTTAAAATGATGTGACGAAGCATACGACAGAATAAGGAAATCCAATGATACCAAAAATCAAAATTTGTTAACATTAACAAATAAATAAACGAAATGATCAATAGAATCTATCCATTCAGGGATTTACTATTTATCCTTATTCCTTACGTAACTTTAATATATGAAATATATTTTTTCAATAAATTTTGCATGGCTCCGAAAGGTTTATTTTTTCATTATCTTTGTTTTTAATCTTCTAATTATTTAAAAAAAAATTGTTTACTATTTATTTATACATTAAATGAACTACGTGCATTCAATAATTTAATAAAGTAAAATCTCAGAACAGTAATATAAAGAAACACTTAAGATTTTTTGTAATTTAAGACATTAAATCTATTGTAATCAAACTATCAAGTCGAGGATACTTTGAGAAGGATTGAGAGAACAAGTTCCATAACTCAGCGCTGAGTTTAGGAACTTGTTCATATTAATATTGTGTAACTTTATTACAATCTGTCCGATGTAGCATAATTCCGACAGTCTTAAGGAATTATAATATAGGGTTTACTTTCATTATGGAAAATTTCAATTGAGAGTAATACGTTCTTGTAAAAATGACCTTAATTTGTTATTTTTAGGCACAAGTTTTATTTGAAACTCAAGCTATAGCGCTCAGACTACAGTTACGTATTATTTTGTTCATGGGGTCAATTGACAAAATATTAAGACTTTTTTTCCAGTTTGAGAAATGATTGGTTTTATAAAGATAAGTCGAATAACTAAATTTTCTTTTTAAAACTAATTGTTGCATTAAATTATTTTTAAACATGTCTTACAGGATAGGCAAACTTCTGTGTAGTGAACGCTGTTGGGCACCAGGACAAGGTTGCCAATTCCTTCAGGATGGGCTTGTTCCCTCGTGAGGTAGCAGGTGGATTCCTCATACTCCACGGTACCGCTGAAAGAAGCGATACGGCTACCGGGCTGGAAGTCGAAGGAGGTGCAAGCACGAACCAGGTTGTTGGTTGCTGTTCTATCCCTTAGGCATAATTCTTGACATTGTTCAAGAACTCGAAAAGGTGGTGCAGTGTCGCGTACCTCGAAAACAATACTTGGATTAATGCATAATAAAATTAATAGTGGGTTGATGGTTGGCAGTAGTGAATAATTGAAGAGAAGTTGGTTGGGGTGCTCAGTAAAAAAATATATATATATCATTTGTTTATTTTTTTACTTAACACCGCAACCAACATCTCTCCATAATAAAATTAATTGTGTAATAAATTTTTAGTCTGTGATCAGCAAAGGATGCATTCCATCTAGTGTAGCCCAAATGCGAGACCGAGACGAGTCTTGGTCTTGCAAACTCAGTCTTGATCATGGTCTTGGTCTTGCGCAAGAGTCTCACAACAGTCTTACTTACTAGCTTATTACTGTACATATATTACTGTAATTTTTTAGAAAGGAGAAACCTAACTAAGCCCGAATGAAAAATTAGAGGAGTTAAATGCAATAGTATATTGGTCATACCAATTATTTACTTGTAGTAACTAAGATTGTCAAGTATTAGTAACAATTTTGTCTTCATTTTTATTCAAAAAATCGATTTTTTTTACCAGTCCTGGTCTTGGTCTTGCAACAGTTTGGCGGCCTTGGTCTTGGTCTTACAAAGTTTTGGACAACACTAATTCCATCTAAAAGTTTTTTTTTTTAATGTCTGTTAATTAAGGATGAATCAAATTGGCTATATTACGTCGGAATGTCTTGATTCTATTACAATCAAAATTTCTTGCCTTTAATATTTGATTAGATTTTTAAAACTGTATTAATACTATATATCTGTAAACATATCAGTTGCAATTATATTTTTGCTTCATCACTGCCGAAGTTAAGGAAGCTTTGAATCCGTGCACATCTGCTTGACCAGGTTTGATAACTAGATATTCCATTATAGACTTTATCAAATTCCGTCGACTTCTTTCCCTTAGTTCATGGTTTATTCCTTGACAAGATTATAATACAAAAACGGGTTCTACCGTAGATTTATTAAGACGAAACGGCTAATCATAGATCTTGAAATATAGGTAATTATGCAACCAACAGAGTTGGTGATGATGCTATACTGACCTTACTTGCCAGACCTTTTTTTTTTTATTTTTGACGATCCGATTCTTAATTTGTTTCGATTTAATTGATCAGTGTTTTATTAATAAAGTTGCTTCCGTTGATTTTTTTTTTAAATTAATCATTAATATATTACAGTAAAAAAAAAGGAAGAAGTTATGAAATCTTGTAAAATAATGTGTTAAAACAATAAAATGTTAAAATTTGTTTTCGATTTTAGCTGGAGCCTACTAGGTTTGACTTTAAGTCGTAAATTAATATGGTAACGATTTAAATTTTTCTTTTTATTAGTATAATAATTATTTGATCCATTAACACCTTCCTTACAGATGATTTTTCCAAAACGGACGCTATATTCCACTGTTTTTTTTTGTATATGTAATTTATCGATTCTCATATGCATTTTATTTATTTTATATTGGCTTTGTAAGTGTATTTAGCTTAAGTTAGGCAGAGCTCTTTAAAGTAGAAATAACGTAAACCGTACATGATAGGGCTCGGGAGTCAATCTGTTAATTATGATGCATACGTTTTCGATGAATGAGTCAAAGTTCGTTGGCTAGCATCATTTATAGCTACGGATAAATAAAATGTTTTTATATAGAATGAAAACTGGTAATGATTGACCTGTTATAATAGAATATATCTAGCTCGAAATCCAATTCATCCAAGTTTAATAAAAAAAAACAAAAATATGATAACTTACAACATCGTCATCGAATCCTTGAAGTTGTTGATCTGGCAATCGCTCGTACATTACTCTCCCCAAGCCCTGATTACAAGTGGTTTGGGCTGAAAAAATAAACAATTGTTTAACATATTTGAATTTTTAAAATCTCATTAATATCAATAAAGGAATTTCTTTGATGAGTTGCAATTTTTTTCGAAAATACTTATTTTCAGAAAATAAAATAATAACTTTTTTCAAAATAAAGATAATTATGGTAATCATAATTAATATGATTTAAAAAAAAATCCCTACAAATATATTTTAGATAAATTTTGTTTCTGAATTGTAACTGGGGTTCTCAGAAGTGGAAAACACGATGTAAGTTACGCCATCAAAATTTTTGAGGGGGCATATTTAGATGGTACTATGAATTTTTGGAGGTAACCATATTTTTATTGGTTTTCAATTTTGGAAGAATTTTTAAAGCAGTGTACAAGGGTAAACATGGAACATACTCTAGCAATGTTAATGGTCCATTAACTATAAAATGTATAATTCTACTTTTGCTTGTACTTTTGAAACCCCATAAGGAGGTTGAAGGCGCAAGTTGCGTCATCAATTTTTTTTTTTGGGGGGGGCACATTTGGACTGGGTTTTGAATTTTTGAGAAGGACACATTTCGATGGAGTAATGAATTTTCAAAGTGAAAAGTTTTAAATCTAATCACTAGTGGAAGCATAGAACATACTGTAGGATGTGTACTTGTTTATAATCTACGATTTTTTAAATTCTACTTTCGTTTGCTTTATTTTTAAGTAGATAATAGCAAAAAAATATCTTGGAAAGGGTGGGGGAATGTTCATGCGCCATCGATATTTTCACCTTTGGATTGCACCGTTTTTAAGAAGAGGAGAAGAACAAAATTTCTTATAGGGACATACGCTATCGACTGGGGAAAGGGCGCCCCTGGATTATAAGGTTATAAAATACTCTCTACTAATTTCAATAGTAATATTACTAGTATCCATGTAAAAAATAAAATAATGAAAATAGAAATAAATAAAATATATGAAAAAAAGACAATACTCTGATCAACCAGGCTTCGTAATTCGAAAGCATCTTTTGTAATCCATTAATTGTTTATAAAAATATTGATATATATTACTAATATATTGTCATAATTGAATTCAAAATATTAGGGCACTTTAATAAGCTATTGGGAGTGGGGTAGCTCAGTGGTAGGGCACTGAGCTTCCAATGCAAAGGATCTAGGTTCGAACCCCGGCTCATGGCAGAAAATTTTATTTATCTGTTTCATTGGCCGTGGGGCGACCCTGGGTTGAGAGACCCTCCTGGGGCACACCCAGCCTCTATAAAGTGGGTACCCTTAATTAAATAATTAATTAAGGGGGAAAACCTGGCGGTTGAGCGTGATCTCGGTCACATCACCTCCTTGCACAACCGTTGACCTAGAAACGGTGCTTTCCCTAAATAGTACTGAACCCCAGACCCTTTATGGGTTGTTGTGGTACAGGTTTTTTTTAATAAGCCATTATAGTTATTGTGATTTATATATTTCTAATATAATTATGATCATGTATATTTATACATGCTCAATGTAATTGATTTTTCATAGGAGATCCTCATCGAACAGATTATTAGGAAACAGAAGAAGCAGCGATGACGTCTCCGACAGTTACGATAAATTTTATCTAAAGCTTCAATGGAGAGTTGGTTCGATTTCCATTCATTAATGAGAATTTGTATCAATAGAAATTTTGAAACAGTTGTGGCAAATGTCATTCCGAATATGCTCTGCTTGCATCATTCCAGGAGTGCCCATCTCCAGACAAGATTGATAGCGCATGAATCTGCCCCTCACCTCAAAAAAAAAATTATTATCCACTCTTCTTAAAAACATGCAAGCAAAAGTAGAATTGGAAAAATCGTAGATCACATAAAATTAAACTTGAAGTAGTCTGGTCCATGCTTTTTCCCTTGTCACCTGGATTGAAACTTTGCATTCCAAAAATTCACAACCCCATAGAAATGTACACCCTCATACATTCAAAACCGCATATAATGAGCCCACTCAAAAAATTTGATGGCGGAACTTGCTCTATGAAACCCTCTTCTATGCAACCCTGCAACATTCAAATAAATTGCAAGTATTGTCAAATCAATTGGTAAGCCTGATTTGGCGTTATGTTAACTCACTTGTAGGAAACTCTGTTTTGAATATTTAAATACAATTAAATTTTAATTTTAGATTAGCACTACAACTGTAATTATTTATATAATTAAATATATTTTTTTTTATTAACGTCATTAGAATGAAAAGAGGCAGGCCTAGACTTCGTTGGCTGGAAGATATCGAAAATGATCTAAGGAGTCTGGGTGTAGCCAGATATAGAAGTCCGGCCGAAGACAGGTCGGTTTGGAGGAAGATGGTAAAGAAGGCCAAGGTTCTATAAGGATGTTAGCGCCATCGGTTGATGATGAAATATAATTTTTTAATTATATTTATGGTTGTTTTTTTTTTTATTAAAAATGCATTAGAAATTATCTGTTTGTATATATATCATTATTTTAGTTTTAATTTATTATTATGTATCACCAGCGGATCTAAGGGGGGGGAAGGAGCTTTCGGGCTGAAGTCTCCCTCGTTCCCCAAAATGGTAAAATATAAACATGTTTTATAAAAAAATTATCTTTAAATACTTGTGATACATTAAGTATTAATTAAGCTCTTAGGATAAATTAACGAGGACAGTTGGGTTATAGGAGATCAGTACTACAATATTGGAGCTAAAACAATTGCATAATAATCACTGAATGAAATTAGAAAGAAAAGCAAAATCTATTTTATTGGTAAAGAATTGTAGTGATAGAATATAAAAATTTAAAAAATAATAATAACTGTTAATATGTAAGGAAAGAAATTGTAAAAACTAAAACAAAAAAAATATAAAAAAAAACAAATAATGATATACATATGTTCCCTAAGATATTTAAGTGATTATGCGTAAAGATTAGGAGAAGAACAAATAAAATAAAGTATACATATATATACACATAGCGAGAAGTGTATAATATATAATTTTTATATATATTTATTTAAAAAATGAAGTTTTATAATCAAGATAATATGGAATATATTGTGGTTCAACATGACTTGTTTGATATTCAACAGGTATCGCAAGACCTTAACAAGGTGTTCCTAGCCCCTTTCCCACAACTATCAATAGCCAGTGGCAGTCAATAGAGTACGCGGTCAATATTTATCGAGCCATTTCCTAGGCTCGATTGTAATGCCAAAACCAGTTCCGCTAGGCTAGATTTGAATTCCTAGTTTTACACAACAAAAGGCACAAGGGCCCCACAGCAGAGTCATTAACAGCTTATCTTTAATATGGAAGTTGTGAAGGTTGTAGTATCTGATCTTGCGTTGATTTATTTAACTTTGGTCATACACGATTTCTCAGTAATTTTGGATATGGTAAGGGAGAGAGTCACTAGCGGATCCAGGATTAATTTTTTTGGGGGGGGCTTCAGCCCAAAATTTTTGTTTTCATATACATAAAACGATAATTAATTTGGAAAAAAAAGGAAAGAAATTAGCTCAATATATGAAATAGTGTTTTAGTGGTTCTTGAAGTATAATTACACGAACAAGAATACTTTAAGAGATAGTATTTAATATTTTTTTCTGTAAATCATGGTTATATTTTACCATTTTGAGGGGAGGGGCTTCAGCCCGAAAGCCTCTCCCCCGTAGATCCGCCTGTGGAGAGAGTAGAGTTCTGAATGATGAATAATTTGACAAGGTGAAAAAGGACTAAAAAAGAAAGGATTTTTCTCTCCGAAAATGTGTCCATCTGTTTTATGGCGCTACTTGCGCCGTACAACACTCTACAAGACACCCCTGGAAAAAAAATAAGTTAATAATTTCAATTGCCAGGGTGCACGGCAACTCGGGCTGCTAATGGACATGGAAAATCCTATCTCCTCGACAAGTTCAGTACATATAGTTCTCAGCTACTTACAAGATCGTTAGCCCTACCGGTTCACGTTATCAGAACCTTGAGGTATTCGAAACGTTTAAAGAACGTATCTTGAGACTCATAGAACATCTTTTTTTGTTACATCATCTTTGCATTACATTCCAGCCCAACCAGATCTGGATTGTCTTAAGACAGTTCTCAGTGACCTATACAAAACCGTCTGCCGTATAAGTCTCTAGTCGTTGGGCGATGTGATGGAACTTGTGAAATATGCTGGCGAGGCTGGTGCAATTAACCACCGGTACCGGAACCGGAAGCTACATAAAAGAGCGGGGTCGGCGGCCCAGTTCCCCGGCGGCTGGAACTAATCGCATCACTTCCGGTATCGCCGGATAGCGGCAGATCCATTCACCCCTGCCGTCGCGGCAGTCTTACAACCAATTGGCGAGTGGAACAGCCTCTTCGATCCGTGTCTCCAGCCAATCCCGCGCATCCTCTTTGTCCAATTTCCCTTTCAATATGGCAACTGGTCTGCATGATATACTTGTCAGATTTATTTCGGAATGAATATGCTAGCTCAATATGAAATATATCGATAACAATGATCCGCATCCTACCTATTTTTATCTTTAGCTAAATTATAAACAGACCAAGATTCATAATTAAGCGATATAAAATATCCAATATACAGAAAAAAATAGATGATATTAATATTAAATTGTATCGTAAGCAACGATTACATTCAATAATATTAAAAATATCACAATCGCCATACGATCTATCAGTACGTTAATTTAATTTCATCTAAGCTACCAATTGTGAGTACTAGAAAAAAAAAATACATATCTAGTATTTTTGTTTAATTTTCAATATCGTACTTTTTGACGGAATATAAACGATTCTGTGAGAAATAAAACTATACAAACATAACATATTATCGTTTCATTCAGGGCTTCCTTCCACATAGGAAGCGGGGAGAGAGGTATTGCCGGTTCAAAGAGTCCGGTAAAGATATTAGAATTTTATAATTAAAGTTTAATGGATTGCTACAAATTGAAATACTTATAAAATATACATTTACACCCACACACATATTTCTACACATCAATAAATTAATG